ACAAACAAAATTTTAGTATTACGTCTTCTCTTCATTGTGTTAAAATTTCATGAATATTGGATGAAAAATGGTGGAGTTATTCAAAAAAGTATAGAGGAAAGTCGCGTTTTGAGAAAACGGCCGGTAAAGAAAAATAAAACATTGACTTTATAAGGAAATGGTGGTGATAAACATGCCCGGTATGGGAAAAAATACGGTTTTTGGGGGTTCTTATGCTATGAAATAGTTGTAGGCTGAGGAAGCTAAAAATGCCTGCAACTCAAATTCCATAATTTTGAGCCGAAAAGGGGCTTTGGGGGTGTAGCCCCCTCCTAAGGATAGACCTAAATCTTTTCAGAGCATCCCTTCAACACAGAAAATGCAAGCGCAAGACCTTGACAAAAAGACAATATAATTTTAAAGCAAACACGTTTATTGAACTGTTATTCGAACTAAAAAAACAGCAACCCTAAGACAATGACAAGATTAGCAACTGGAAAGAAATTTAAATTCTATGAAAATTAGAGGGACTTTAAGTCAACAACTGGGTAATAAACAAAGTCATAAAAATGTTACATCATGCTTGCTTCTTGTACATTTATATGACATGTATTACTTTGATGTGAATATCAACCAATCTTAAAGAGACAAATTAAGTAAAAGATTGAAATGTAAACTTTGAAACTGAAAGCTTAACCATACAAGAGAAGTAAAAGTTCTGATCTACCCAATTTTTTCTTTCTCAATCTCAGTCTCATGCATTGTGATAAACTTTGGCCCTCTTGTGGCAAGGCATGAACATGACCATTAAACACCAGTCTGTTTGAACTTTTAATGATACCTTTTTAAACAAAAGTGCCCATAAAGACAGTTTAAGTGTGCAGGCAGAATCAAATACATGTAACGTAGTCCAGGATACATCTAATTCTCCCCAACCAAACAAGCAAATAGTATAGTTACAAACCATGAGGTGACAACATAATGAGTACCCCCAATTGTTCAAATTCCTTTTAAATGACACAGGTTTTTCAGTTAAAGTACAAACTTTGGTCTCCTTGATGCCCAAGCTGAGAAAGGGAGCCACACCCAAATACCTTTTGTGTTCGTAATATAATATAAGGATCACTTTCAACTGAATACAAGACTTGGACATCAAATTGCATAATGGTGTTTGTCAGTCTTGCATCCAGCCATCTATTCTGGACATTTATACATTTCAAACTGTATGTCATTTTCCAAACAAGAATGTGTTTATACTTCACTCACAAAGTGTGGATATATATATATGTCCATGATTTTTTGCCCCCATTGACACAAAATTTAGATCATTAGGGAGGCCGGCTTCCGGCCACGTAAGAGCCAACCGGGCAAAGAAGTTTCAACACCCCTGCAGAAAGATCGAGATACTCAATAAAAATGTATCCTCATTTGGGAATCAACTCTGGTCTCCTGAATGCAATGTTGAAGTGCCTAACTGCTACACCATAGACACTGGTGTGTAGCTATTGAAATCTCCTTTGAATTGTGAAGAGTGATGTTTGAATTTGAGGCAAAAGAATATCAGTTAATATCACTATCTCCACAGAAAGAACATATTTAATATACTGCACAGAATAACAAATAACAAAAAATTGTAACATATCTAATCTTAAAAAGACACTAAAATAACAAAAATCAATGCCTATGGGATAAATTCTATCCTGGCAAAGAACAGGGCCCACCCTTCAAATCTGAAACTGCAAATGTAGCAGACAGTGGCAGCGATACTACTGTTCAAGAGATAATAACAAAAATATAACATACAATCACTAGAAGCTCAGGAAAAACTGCAGATTAAAAATAAGAGAAGAATTTCTTTCTCAATTTGTAAAATTCAAGTGTTGTTGTTGTTGTTGTTGTTGTTGTTGTTATCGATCCAGCAACAGCTGGGCTCTCGCCCTTCTGTCCAATGCCATGTAGCTCGGAAAAGGTGGCCTGCTCAATCTGGCAACATCTGCACACCCTCTGTAAACGCTCTGAATGTTCCATCCACTTACAGTGGATTCCAGGCCACGCCAGACTGGCTGGGAACGAGGAAGTTGACAGCATCGCCAAAGAAGCAACAGCGCTTACCCAGATTGACACGCCAATCGATTTCTCGACAGCTAAAGCCATCATCCACCGATCGACCCGCGCAAAGTGGAAAAGAGAGGCGAAACCCAAACTGCCGTTTGCCCAGCCGCCGTCATTCCAGCTTGAGGCCTCGCTCAGACGACAGGACCGCCGGCTTCTCTCCCAAATGAGAACTGGTGGAAAATCGCCCAAGCTGAGATCATATCTCCACAAAATTGCGCCAGCAGACAACCCAGATCCGTCCTGTCGAGCCTGCAAGGAGGAGGACGAAACTATGGACCATGTGTTCCTGAGGTGTCCCGCCAGCTATCGTACTAGAACCCGTCTGCTGGGACATTTCAGTAACCCACTTTCAGCACTTTTTAAGGACCCCCGGGCGAGTGTTGAGTTCCTGCGTGCTGTCGGCATTGCTGACCGTTTATGAAGCCACAGCGCCAGAAGAGAGAGAGAGAGAGAGAGAATGCCATGTAGTGATAAGTGCAGGTCTGCTGCAGTTGCTGTAATGTTCCATAGAGTGTGTTGTCAATGTTAGGTCTCACAGTATAACACGGATAGTTCAAATTCGTTGGGACCGGCCTCGATAATTCAAGGGACCTGTAGTTCGAGGGATACCTGAACAGTGTTATGGCATCAGAAATTCAAGGGAAGCAACAAAGATTGGGTCGGAACAGAGATTTTTCTTCTTTCTGCAATTGTCTTAGATCAGATGGGTTAGATCTTTGCCTACTGACTTAAACTTGACAGATTGAGAATGAGAAACACGATGAGCGACGCTTTCGAGTTCGATCGGTTATGAACCTATCGGTACCGAGACAGTTTAATTGTGCGGGTCAGTGCAAGCGGTCTTTAGCATCAATCGAAAGGTGCCTTTTCAAATTTTTCCAAAACAAACAAATAGACAAGATAAGCATATCGCAACAGTAATCAACGCGATGACGAAACAATGCAGCCCTACCCCGCCTCTCTCACCAAGCATGCAGTCTTTTGTGAAGAGGGGTGGGGCGGAAGATTTTTGTAATGCACAACCCCTCCTCTCGCCTGCTCCACACAAGCCTAGCTAGGCCTAGGACCTAGGCACGAGCAGAGCAGAGCGCTAAAATTAGCACAGCTATATAGCTGCTTCTGAGGAGGGGGGGGGGGAGGTGGTATTTCAACCACCTTGCCTTGTTCGGTTATTATTATTATTATATTATTGTTTTGTTTCAAGTGCACCTCCAAAGATATTGACTTTGGACCTCTACCGAGGTGTAATTAGTTAGACTATTCCGTGTTTGCATTCGAGCTTCACGTAATTTTTTTTATACAAAGACAAAGAAGAAAAAAACCGGGACCGCAGGCACAGTTCGACAGATGCGTGATTTTGAGTAATCTGTGTTTGACCTATCTGGGTTATACTGTAATATTTTTTAAAACATTTTAAACACATCTGCCTACTGCTTTTGTCTTTTATTTCCTTAAAAGTCAAAAGGTCTATTTTTTAACAGCACTATACACAGAAATGGCAATGAAATCAACAAATCAGTGAAATGTCCAACTCTAAAGTAAACTTACAACATCAATGATTCTGCTAAAAAAAAATTTAAACATACTAAGATATATATAAAACCTGCCATAACGGAAACCATCCAAATTAAATTCTTTTACAAAAGACAGAAACCTTCACAACCTGGAACTGGACAGAGAAATTCCTTCCCTTCAAAGAGTCTCGACCTGTCAAAGACTAAAAATGCTTTGCTTGTCCTGCCCTAATTCGAAACAAAACCCCCAAGTTTGGTGTTACTAGCTTTAACTCTAGCCTTTACACCACACAACCAGGCAATGAAAGGGGAAGGACATGTGGTTTGGGGGTAACTGTTACCCCGTCTATATGAGCCCTGGGCAGTGCAGGTGGTCAGCATGGTGAGGGTGTGAACTTTCACTGCTGCTCATCTTCCAAGTGCCAGCACCGGAAATTTTCTTGTTAGTCAGAGGCGTAAAATCTGGCCACAGCCTGCTGCCAAATCGTTGTTATGCAGGGTTTTTTCGTTAAATGTGCTTATTACAGACCTGCCACTCTATGAAATATAAAAATCAGGATCATAGGAGGGAAAAAATCGTGATTTGATGAAAAAATTCGAGATCAACGACAAACCACCAAAGTCACTAAAAAACTGACTTTAAAACTTTCCTGGGGTGTCCATAAATACATCCAGGTAAACCTGTATGCCCTCTGTGTGTGTGTGTGGTTTTTTTTACCATTACCTTTTTAAATCCTGAAGTATCATGTCAAGCACTCCTAGTCCAAGTGTCTAAACTCCCCCCTCCCCCCAATAATTCAGGAAAGACGCTTCTACCAGTGTGCATGAACTTTAGTTGACCCTGTCAACGGATGGTCCCCGACACATGCAAAACTTGCACGCCAAAGTCATGTCACGTGATGCAAACATGCAATTGAAATACTTTTACAGACAGGTCTTGATGACGGGCCCGACTAACCAGAACTCTAATAAAATTTGTTTTGAATGTAACAGCAGAATTCCAAATAATATTGATCACTTATGTAGATTCGCAATTGAAACAGTTATCAGGCCACCATCGGAAAATTCTGAGTGGAAACAAAAGCGAAAGTAAATCTAGAGAATGTCCCAAGTCGAGAAACCAAATCGATACTACTTTCATTATAGTTGAAATAACACTTGCGAGCAAAGTTCCAACACAACTTGGGGCGAGTTAACTACTAAATCCCAAATCCATATTTTGCAAAATAGTGCTCCGTGTTTCAGCTGACAAATAGTTCAACGGGTGCTTCTCGCGGAAGAAAAGAAAGCCGAGTTAATTTTTTGAAAAATGCGGCGCAATTAAGGAACCCAAAAAATCGGGATACACGCGATCGAAATGGGGAAAATCGGGATGCTTGAGATTAAGGGGGGGGGGGGGGGGGGTATTCCAGTTAAAATGAGATGAGTGGCAGGTCTGTTATTACATAACTTATATAGGGTGGAAACACAAGTTCAATAGTTTCTGTTTACAACTTGTCAAACAGTGGTTCTAATGAAATACAAGCAGTGGTGACAGTGGATTAGTAAGACTGATGCGTGCCATTATCAGAGTGGTTAGAACAACGCTTGGGAAGTGTGAAGTTTTTACTTATTGACTGCTTACTGAATGGACAGGAGACCCTTTTTACAGCTAGCCCTCTGAACCCCTTTCTCCTAAATTCCCCTGACCAAGGTGGAAAACGTCTAAGGTAGAATAGTTTTCTGTCTCCAGTGCAATTCTGTCTTGGACAGGTTCAATAGCACACTTGTAAATCAGAAAATGATAACCATACTCTAAATTGCCCTAAATCTTGTATAGGGTGAAAATAAAATTACATCCAAAAAAACAAATCTTATTTCATAATCTCACTTTAACTTTTTATGGGCAATTAGGGCACAAAACAAGCTTGTGATCAGAAGCATCACCAACTCATGGAACACAGAGAGTATAGTATTGTAACCACTATAAACTATTTTTAAAAGCAACATTTTAAAAAGAATCTAGAAAGAGATCAAACATGCAATAAATTAAGCACTTGATTGGTTCTAACACAAAACCATAACAAACAAGTGCTATGAAAGACCTAGTTACCCAAGTATGCATGGCTTCAGGCCCATTTTGAGAAGCTTTGATAATTGCAAAGAGAGAGGCTATTATTGATACAAAGACAACAAAAACACAAATCAATATTCCCACTAGAGATCCAAAGGGCACATTCATTTTGCCAGTCGAGTAAAACTCCACATTGAAAAGTTCTTCTGATAGGAAGTCACGCTGAAAGTCAGTGTCAATCACAAAAGCATCAGCCATACTCTGAGAAGCAACAGCAATCTGGGAAGGAAAGGAAATTATCTTTTTGTAGTGTTGATGTTGATATGGTCTCAGGAACAAGAACATTTAAGAACTACACGCATATGTTGGGTAAAATAAATTTTGATTTCTTAAAGACATTTCAGCCAAACTTTACTTCTACAACTATGTTTCACTTAAGGGCTTTTAAAAGAACCTCAGTGCTATTTCATGTGAAACCATTCACAAAATGGGGTATGGTTAATAGTAAAAGTAAAGGTTTCATTAAAAAAGTGTAAGTTTTAAACATATCTGACCTGGGATCATACCATCATACATAATAAGAACAAATCAGTCGGGTGTAATAAATTTTAGGTTAACTATTCCACAGCTGTTCAGTTTCACACTCTGATCACCATATTGTTTAATGTCCCTTTTGACACGTGTTGACTTCGGCAGAAGTCATTGAAATGGAAAATGAAAAAAATCAACAACAAAAAAGACAATGTTTGACACAGAAATGATTCTTTTAGTGAGAGTGACGGAACAATGTGGCTTTCAGCTGGATGAAATAATGACAAAGAGAGAAACAAGAAAGGACAAAGGAACTGTTGTAAAGTTTGTAAAGTGCTATTTAACTTGATGGAGTTATTTTTCTGTGTATCACACCCATCAGTGTGTTGCTAGTAAATCCACTCAAAAACACAAATCAATAAAGCAGACATATCAAAAGATTAATCAACACTGATCATGCATGTTGGCCTACTTGGTCTGTGAGTCTGGCTTGAACCTTAGCCAAATGAGACTGCAACTGTTTGGTGTTCTCCATGGCCTTGGTCCGAAGAAATGTTTCTGCTTCTTCATGAGACTTTAAGAACCCTGAAGAAAAATGTAGTGAAGCTTATGCTATAGTTACACAAATGACAAGACATTGATTTAACCTTTCACTCTTCAGACACTATTCTTGGATTTGATCTGTCATCCATAGCATTTTAGTCAATAATGAGCAGCTTAAACAAATTGCATTATAGCACTGGGTTTATGAGTAGGAGTGCTCATTCATACGAAACTCCTGATGCAATCCTCAGCTTGAAAGGCCTATAAATTACCACTGCTGTCGCTCTCATCATGAGCTAATTCCTAGCTGCCATCGGAGATATTCTTGATATTAGATACTCTAAAGACACTCCAACCTTACCCAGTAAGTATAAGAAATTGATTTCATTTAATGCCAACAGCATACTTACCAGAAACAAGGGCTTCTTTAACTGGGTCACCCTGAAAAGTAAAACACAGTGTAGAAATGTTACATCATTCCAAACAGATGTAAAACACTGATAAGTAGTACAAGGAAATGCAAGTGAAAAAAAAGGAGAATAAATGGCAATTGAATCCAAATCCATATACCCTCTACTCCAACATCATATACATTTATAATAAATACCACAAAGAAAAATTAGTAGATTTTCTTCTTGAATCAGAAAGAGCTATACAGACAATAACATACATTGTTTAAATCATTAAAATTGTATGTTAATTTTGTTTCTAAGTTATCAGGGTTCAGGTTAATTCAAAGCTTAGAAAATTTCAGGCTCTGTGCAAATTAAGCACAAAAATATGACTTTTAACAGTCACAAAATGAGGCAATGACAATTCTCATACTCATTTATTACGTCTTCAGGCAGGAAGTACCAATGTTGAGGCATAACACAGACTACAGAAATCCTCAGGCTTATCTAATACTGATTTTGTAAAGCTACCAAATTATATGAAAATAACTTTTCTAAGTACCCTTTTTTGCTTGCTACACAACAAAAGGCTAATTTGAGAGGTCTGTAGCTATATCTATCAACCTGTAGAGTCAAAACTTCTGGTCACAATTTGCAGATCATAATTTAAGTATGTTATTTCAGGAAATAGAACATACTAGTTGGGCCCCCTTTCGATGAAAGGAATGATCGGTGCATTAACATCAACTGAATATCATTGGTCTATTATATTAACACTCTGCTGCAATGGAGCAATAAATCTTGAGAGAAAAGTGACACATGAGTTTCCAAGTTGCCAAATATATAATAGATGCATAGATTGATACTCTATTCCGCTTTCGTGGTTGTACAGAAGCGCGTTGATTGTTGATGGGCATCAAACTAAAGGATCACAGTCGAATTTAGCACCAAGTAAAAAAAGAAAGCATGAGTCTAGATCTATACAGGTCGCACACTTAAAATACTGCTCAGTATTGCTGTTGTGTATTCTACATGCGGACAATCCAAGAATACTAACAACATTAAACATTAATAAATGAAACAACTTCTCGGGTTGTGTTCCAGAGTTTAATATAAGACTTAAAACTTTACATGACTGTGACTTGTGCTGCCGTACGCTAGACATCTTTGTTGTTTATGTCCTCTGTGTGTGTGTGTGAGTGTGTTGCTCTTTTCTTGCTCTCAACGATACCGATATACTGACCATTACAGTACTCGTTATGGAATACTGAAAGTGGGTTCTTATAATGTTACATCATGATTACTCTACTCTACAACATTCCTTCCTTTCTTAAAATTTTCAAATCTTTTAAAAAACAGTTACGTGAACTTTAACTTTAACCCATCATGGACATTCATAATCGGTAATTCTAGCCTTACAGGCTCTGTAACAATAATACCTTAGTTGATCGAAACTTTTAATTCCAATTCCATAACAACTGACTTCTTAAGATCTGGGATAGGCTTTACTTTGTTTCACTGTAAACAATAGTAAGGTAATATTATTATGTGCAACTTGGTATGATTTGTTTCATGTCACTAATACTAATTAGCACATCTGAAATTAATTCACTGAGAATGTTTATCTTTAAAACAGTCCATTTTTATGTAGAGACTTAAAATGTCCATTCTTTCACTGAGAACGTTTATGATTTTGACAGTCCATTCACTTTAGTGTCGAGAGTTATAAGTCCATTCTTTGAACTGGTCTTCTGACACATTTAGGGTAATGTCTTGGTGGTGATCGTTGTGGTGACGCTTGTCCTTAAGTGACCTCTTGGATTGTGTCAGGGTTAACACTTGATGGTGGTACCGTTGGTTCCTCATCCTGACCCATTGGTAGCATTGGGATGGCAGGTAGCAGAAGCGGTAATTCGTTGATATCAGCAGTTGAGTCTGGAGCAGACTGCAGCTGGTTGATATGACAGTGTTGCACCATTCCCAGTCTCTGTAAGATCACTCCCTTTGTCCATCTGTTTACACCTGGCGCTTAGGTTCTGACCTTGACAGGGTCACCAGGCTGAAAATCACAGAGGTTTTTTTCTTGTGCCTGAGCTTCTTGCTTGTGGCGCATGTTAGATACGAGATCAGGCTTCATCAGATCCAACCGGATTCTTATCTTTCTCTTGAATAAAAGTTCTGTTGGACTTTTGCCAGTCATCATGTGAGGCGTTGTTCGGAGTTTTAACAGGATTTTGGACAATCTTTGCGGTCCACTTTGTCCTGGGCTCGATGATTTCATAAGTCTCTTAAATAATTGAACAAGTCTCTGAGTAGATCCGTTTGTTGAAGGCATGTAAGGCTGTGATGTTATGTGCTGTACACCATTTTTCTGAAGAAATTCTTCAAATTCATTTGACCTAAATGGTGGGCCATTTTCACTGACAAGTGTTACAGGCAATCCATGAATTGCAAAGATCTGTCTAAGCACATCATTTGTTCTATGTGCTGTCGTTGTTGTCATCGGTATTCTTCAAATTGACAGTACTGTGAGAGCCTTCTTAGATTTGCCAGATATTGAGAAATGCTTTCATTTTCCCTTTGGGATGCTTTGTAGAAATTAAATCTCTCATATATGACAAGTGGTTCGGGTTTGTAATGTTCGAGTAGTGCTTCTTTTAGCTCAGAGTAAGTCTTATCAGCAGGCTTTGCTGGGGAAATGAGATTTTTTAATACCTCATAAGTCTTCCCTCCAATCAAACTGAGAAAAACTGCTGTCTTTTTGCCTTCTACAACATCATTTGCCACGAAATACTGTTCTAGTCTTTCAGTGTATGATTCGAGATCGATGTTCTCTGGATCGAATTCTTCGATTCTCCCGAGAGTCGCTATGAATTTCAACAGCGAGTACGATTTCTGGGCGAAATGGGTTGCATGCGTTGATAGCAGTCCAAGTAAAGTAGTCAAATCCTGGCTTCGGCTGACGTAGTGTGTACTCACACCACAATGGTCTGGGTGAACTGGGGGCACTGGGGCCACGTGTCGGTAAGCGATGATCGAGTTTGCAAAGAACTGAAGTAATGAAGCTTCAACTTACGCCGTCATCAATCTTGCAGACCTTGTCGCCCATTTGTTGTGTATTCTACTTGTGGACAGTCCAAGAACACCAACAACATTAAACATTAATAAATGAAACAACTTCTCGGGTTGTGTTCCAGAGTTTAATATAAGACTTAAACTTTATATGACTGTGACTTGTGCTGCCGTACGCTAGACATCTTTGTTGTTTATGTCCTCTGTGCGTGTGTGTGTGTGTGTGTGTGTGTGTGTGTGTGTGTGTGTGTGTGTGTGTGTGTGTGTGTGTTGCTCTTTTCTTGCTCTCAACGATACCGACATACTGACCATTACAGTACTCGTTATGGAATACTGAAAGTGGCTACTTATAATGTTACATCATGATTACTCCACTCTACAACAATTGCCAAAGTTAGTACATGTAGATAGTAGTAGCTGGGCCCCCTTTCTATGAAAGGAATTTTAAAAATCTAGTCATTGAGGAACAGTACGAACGGCTAGTGAACGGAAACCTCACTTGTTTACAATGTCGTCTTAGAAGAAGGACTTTCCCAAGATCAGACCTAAACAAAACTAATGAAAAACTGAAATTTAAACTTAGATCTATACCGGTCGCACACTTAAATAGTGCTCAATTTGCGTGACAATGCACGACGGTATTGAACGGAAGTACAATTTGAAATTTAAAAAACAGGCAGATTTTCTAAAATTACAGAGACAGAAGCATCGGCCTACAAAAGCGATCGGCGAAATAAAGAAATTTAGCTTTTTGCAGCAAAACTGTCTCAAAACGGAAAAAACCAAGGGCGTCATGATCTGGAGAATTTTTTAAAGAATCTTTTGGCGTGAACCGCATGTCGATCGATGCAGCCATTAAAAAGCCTTTTGAATAGCAAAATTCGGCCACCACAAATAGGTAATAGATGTAGACTCTTTGGTATTTCGTGACAATGCGGGATAATACCGAACGGAAGTAGATCTACGACTTGAAATAAACAAACCTGGCGGATTTCCTAAAATTACAGAGATGGAAGCGTTGGCCTGCAAAAGCGATCGGTGAAATACAGAAATTTAGCTTTTTGCAGCAAAACTGTCTCAAAACTGAAAAAACGAAGGTCGTCATGATCTGGAGAATATTTTAAGGAATCTTTTGGCGAGAATCGCATGTCGATCGATGCATCCATTAAAAAGCCTTTTGAATAGCAAAATTCAGCCACCACAAATGGATAATAGATATGTAGTGGAATCAGGCGCTCTTCAATTTTTTGGCTTGTGGAGATATTGGTATCATCTGAAAGCTCACTCATTTGCTTTGCTTTCTATGAGAAAAACGCCCATCTATCTTGAATAGCAGTCGAAATATTTGCGATTGAAGGAGGTGAGGGTAGCAAGGTTTCAGAGATAAAATTTTCAAGAAAATGGCTTCCAAAGTTTTGTAACTTCTATAGTTTGAAAGTACTTGAAAACTGAAAATCTACATATTTTGTGCCATTAATTAAAAAAATTCAGTAAAATTCACATACAAATGTGTTTATATATGGACATAAAAGGTGTTGAGCTAAAAAAAACAAAAATTTGATAAAAATTGCCACTGGTGGAAGAATGTCTGTTTCATCGATTTAATTAGTTTGACGAGCACCTGATTTCACCACGATGTCTCAGAATATATAATATATATTACACACACATATATAATAAGTGTTTATGGTCGCTTTTAAGGACAAGCGGGCTAACCCATTTTCGGGGGTTTCCTGAAATCTTGACCTACACCAAAAGTGGACATTGCTCTACCTACGGGACAAGTTTGGCTTCATTGGTGCATATATTTTTTTGGTTATAGAGAAAACTCTCCGTATCTTTTAAAGAAAGTGAACAAGGGGCAAAAACTTTACCTTCGATTTTCTCAAAACAGCATTTTTCAGGATAGTCCCTTGTGCTTAAAAGTGACCACATACTGATTACAAAGAAAATAGAAAGCATATAAAGCTAAGAGAGCAGAATACTTACAGCACTGTTGCTAATGACTTGGGTAAGTAGTGTGTCAAAATCTGCTGTTTTGTTTACCACAGTTTTCTGAAATGAGATTAAAGTCACAATATAGAGAGCAGTTCTCTGCACATTGGATAAACTGTCGAAAGTGTAAGCTTGAAAGAAGCTAACAACACATTAAAAATCACTGCCATCTTAAGAAAAATGCCTAACTCTACTTGATTCTGCTTTACAGGGTGAGCAAAAGAATGAAGTTACCATACTGATTTTCTGCAATGCCCAGTCAAGATGGTGGGTCAAATCCTCACAAACATTTAGTTTGTATCCAATAAATTCATAATCAAAAGTTAAGTATGGTAAGGGGCACAAACACAATAACTATAAAACTTAAACTGAGTATGTATTTTTCGACAAAAAAACAGACTTCCCTTCCATACTCAGATTCTAAAATACATATCAAATATGTTTTTTAGGTACTGGTTGGCAGCTATGCAGCATAATCAGATATGATGAGCAATTTTCCTACCATGCTTACTTTTTTAAAATCTCTAATTTCTGGAAAATGCACAAACCCTGCTTCCCATTTGAGTTCTGGCAACGAGAGTTGACTAGCAAGAAAACATTTACTACTATTTCCATTTATGCAACAATTTCAATCTGGGTTTTATACTATATTAATAGTTTTCAAATAGGCATTATCAACCCATATTCCATCTATGAAAGACCCTTCTTTAAGTATAAGAAACTCCAGAATGGGAGTGGAGAGTATGTGAGCATTTTGCAACGTGTTATAGAAATATTGAGCCTAACTCACATTGCACTTTTCTTGTGTTGAAGATCGACAGGTACTGGAAAAACTTACTTCTCATAAATGCCGTGCAGACTCACCAGTTCCTCTGGAAGGGGTTTCTCTCCTTTGACAGCCACAGGTCCCCAGCGGAGAATTGGAGAGGCAATGGCCATGGGTTGTGTCTCCTCCTGTGGTTCCACTAGACCAGAGTCTATTTTGAACTTTTTGCCTTTCATCTGATTCCCCCCCAAAAAAATTATCAAGACTAAAATTAGAAATTAGTTTCAGAATGAGTAATTATCCAAACAAGAGCAGGTCATCTATTTATCTATTTAATACAAATCTGTAGGACAGCCAAAAAAAAGATATGGTTTGGTGGAATCAAGGAGACCCTTTTCATTATACAACATCCCATTAATTCAGTCCTAATTTTGACTAGCAGCAGTTGATGCCCCTTTCTTCCCATGAAGTTTGCCGCTGCGTGGGATTAAACTTTGCAAGCAGAATTTTTTAAATAGTTATCGCCCCTAAAAATTGATTTCATTTTCGGAATCAGCGTATCAAAATAAGCAAAGTGGCTCGCATGGAACCTGATTTGTAGCCATATTATAAATTTAAGCAAACTTCGTTTTTGATTGTCAATTTTGAATCTGAAGTCCTGTATCAAGGTCACCCGCTGCGTTGTGTGCTTCTGACATCACAGCTAAAAAATCGTCGCGTCGGCTCCTTCTCAGAGCCGGTATTGACCGTTGGTGTCGACTCCTTCCCAGAGCCAGTACTGGAGGCCAGGTGTCGGTACTGACACCTCCTTCAGTAGAACCGGGAGTTCCGGTACTGGGTACCGGTACCTACCCATCCCTACCGTCAGGGCAGGTTCGACTCGACGTTGCTTATTGCAAAGCCACTTTTGAACAAGTTTGATCTTTTAGCTACCCAAATTTGTCATTGTTAAAAGTACCAACAAAGCTATTAAATTTTAATTGTATGCAAAGACATCATTTGAATAGAGGATATTTTTAAGACTTACAATTCAAAACAGCTGCCGTTTCCATGGTAACAAGATGTCATAGAGTTAAAACTTGGTTTCTTTCTCATCATGTCAGATACACTGGTCAGCAAACTCATCCAAATATGCCCACAAACAAAAATTTTGACCATTGTGTGTTTCTCCATTCCCTAAAAACCAGGAATCAAGTTCATACAGTACAGTGTCTCCAATTTTAGAGGCTTGAGAGTAACTCACCAGTTTCAGATTAGGAGTCAAGAACAAATCTCTCATTGGCTTCAAATTCTTCATGTAGAGCCTGAATTCTTTGAACTCTTCCATCTGAGAGAACATGGGAAATGAGATATTAATAAACCTCACTGGTTTTCCATCAAAATTTAAGAATTACATACTTTCTCGTCATCTCAATATATATAAACAAAGGTACTACTTTTTGTTTACCATCCACTTAAATTATATCCTTTGTGCAGATTTATGTAATAATGACCTTAACCTAACATATTCATATGCTACACTCATTACCAGTATTTTGGTAAAAAGGAAGGGGGAAGAAGAAACAAATATATTAACGGGATTTATTAATTGGATGTGTAGTTTTTTAGCTACACGCTCTCAAAATGTGTGAAGTAAAAAATGTTAAAAAGCATATATGATGTGAAAGGCTTTAAAAAAAATTAAAGCAAAGGTCCTGAGAGACTGGTTTCACAAGATACTAGGTCAGGGCACATCAGTGTTGGATGGAGAAGGAGCACTTCTCATAAATGATAAACAAGGATGACATGAGTTTGCTGCCAAAAGGGAAGAAGCATGATCAATATGGTGAGTTTTCAAGTCAGAGGTTTTATACAGCTTCTTGCAGGTCACAACTCAACAGTGGAGCTTGTACTGTACATTAGCATAATGAGGAACATCATTAAGTTTGGTGGTGATCTAATTCTAACTGTCCTCACCTCAAAAGGGATAACCTTGAAAGTATTCAGCCAGAACAAAACCTAAATGTTCTACAACTTTGTTCTCAGTCTTGGCAGTCTCTCAGATTTTTCAAATTGCAAAGGGGAGTATACTCCCCTTAGAACACTTAACCAAAGTATGCCCAAGAAAGCACGGAAATCATATCTTTTTCTAACTCACGTTTAAATTCTAGAGGTCAGACTCGTACAAGAGTCTCCAAATTTTCCTTTAAAAAATCTGTATAATTTATAAAGAAGACCACTTTGATCTTCAACACTGTTGTCGCTTTTACAATAACAAATAGTTTTATCATACTACTCTTTTTAAAGCGCCGAATTTAACACAGTACCTAAACTCAGAATTAAATTGCCAGAGCTGTCCAGGGCCGCAGCCTGATTTTGGGATTAATAAACAATACTTTCAACACTATTTTTTGATCTAGTGGTGGGCAGTAATGTCATATGAAGTAATGAAGTTATATGTCAATAGTGGACACAAAAATTGTCTTTCTATTCATAGGCTTAGTAGTGAAGTTGACAAGGCAATATAAAAAAATTTGAAGTGTGCTCACTTTGACAGTCACAATATCCTCAATGTAGTGGCAGCATGTCTTCAAAAAGGAAGGTACTTTTGAGACTTGAATAACATTAATTGCTTCCACAAAGTAATTGATTTCCATTTTCTGCTTCATAAAGAGAACATCAACTTCATTACCACTGTTCAAAATCTCTGTCAAGATGGGAGAAAGGAACTTCCTGGAGAAATAAATAGATACTACTAGTTAAGGGAAAAACAATAGGTATGAAAGCTTATTATTAATAAGCTTCACAATCAATACAATTAAGACATGTAAATACCATGTACAGCTAGGTATGTTTTGGAGCAAATATGTCTCAAACACAAACATAAATAAATACTGATACCTCTATACATCTAAATAACATATAAAATGAGTAAAATATTTCTAAACCTACATCATCTATGTATATGAACTGCCTGGACAAAAATCAACTTTAATAACTGGAGCAGAACTTGCAACCTATAGCCTAAGCTTCCCATTTTATCTACATGTACTAAATTAAGAGAAATATTCTATTCCAAAAATACGATTTCAAAAGTTTCAAGAAACCGCCAAATAATCAAACAATGATTTGCAGTTTTTCTACACTCTCAATACAATGTCAGTTAAAACCAAACAAAGGGAAAGTTTTCACAGATCGTTGATGTTAAAATTACACACACTGAAGAACTATTACAATCAAGAACTGAAAAATGACCAATATAATGGAAACCTTGCAATGAAGATCACAGTATTGTAGGCTTTCTCCTCCACTTCAGCCAGGCGGCTGCGACTACCGTCCAGCAACATTTCATGTTCTTTACTGATAAAGCCAGAGTAGATGGAAAAACCAAGGATGCGTTCTTGCACAAGACACTGGGCTAGTAGTTCAGCGCTGTAAACCAGTGTGTTCTCTTTGACATTTACTCTCCATTTGGTAGAAAATTCATCAACAAGGGCCTGTGGTAGATGAAGTCACTTGTTATAGTCTTACCAAAGAAACTGACTTAATCCCACCCAAAACAAGAGGTAGTCACACCGATGCAAGAGTTGCATTCAATCCATAACCAAAAAAAACATGTAAAAAGAAATAATTAACCATATGAGCAAGAAAGATATTTCCTCCTCCCCTGCCTTATCAATATCCCAATTTTAAATCAAAAGCGGATGAATTTGAAGAATGCCCAGCATAGAAAGATAGCAAGCTCACAATAAAGGTCCACAGCCCAATTGCATGGGAACTCTAGAGATTATTCTGTATGTCATAAGTCATTCAAAGACGAAATGGAAGATACATAACAGCATGTTCCACGTGTAAAATTCAACATAAACCAAGAGTTAATTACATCATAACATAAATGCCATTGCTGTATATAACCATACACGGAGTTGTTTCAGCATTGCACTTCTGGGGAAAGAAATCCTTACATTTCACACATGAATTATAAGCTGATATCTCACGTGTGAAATATAAGCTGTATCAAGGGTTGCTCACTCTGTGGCTCAGAGGAGAGTAATTACTCCAGTGCTGGTATCTGTAAACTGTTATCTTACAAGCATGGAAAATATATTTATAAAACCGACCTTTGATATCATTACAGTACATTGAGCTCCTTACCTGGATCAAAGCTTTTCTGCGTTTTTGCTCTTGGCTTTCTTTTAATCTGTTTCCAGACAGTGGGTCATGGCGAGCCTGAATCCTCTGTCTTCGGGTTCCCATGCGCCTACACTCAAGAAAATATAAAAATATTAGTTTCCCAAAGTGACTAGTATACCGCATTAAAAAAACCTTTTTTTTTCATGCTGATATAAACCTTTTTTCATTCAAATTTAGTCTGTAACATAATTTTACCTATTCTGAAACATGAATCTTTTTCTCCAGATATTTCCATTCCAAATTTTGCTGATATTCTGCCCAGATAGTTGGCCAGGCTTTTTAGTTCTTCCCTATGTTTTATCAATTTTATAAGCATCTCTACTCTGATATATCCAGCATGGATTTTGTCAACTCAGAATAATTTACCATACTTCAGTGTCTGTATTGCAGCTCCTACTTTTTGCTATAGTATTTGGTGACTGTCTGTGCATTTAAAACATTGGGATCTCCTCTTCTATTCAGTTTGGTGTTTAATTTATGCCAACAGATTAAATAGAGCCAATGTATACAGATATTTGTGAATACAGGTCAGCTGGATATAAACCAACACTTTTCCCCTCGTCTGCCTACTGTAGTCATCTGTCAGAAGAGTAGTCGTACTGTTATTTTTCATTTGAACAGTAAATCATTTCACATTTGCTTAATATCTTCATAATTGAATGTTTATTGTTTAAAAAATCATCAATTCTAAGCTACAACTTCAATAGTATTCAACTAATACGTTTTGCCAGTTACAACCATTTACCTACATTTCTTGCAATGAACATTGATTTCAGCTCAGTTTGAGCGGGTCGTTAGTAGGTGCTCTGGTTAACTTGCTCCTTCTTTCCTAGCAAACAATTATCGCCCCCTCCTGCTTCTTCTTTGCATTTGTTACTCTCTTGTAACATCTCTAATCTTCGGCACCTATATATGACCTAACTGTGATGCAAGTGCTGTAAAGTACTTATTAAAACTAAGCTCAGTTTCGTGTACACAGTCTTTCTTATTCTAATATTAATAGGTAAAGTTAAGCAATTATTTGTCCCTTATCAAGCATAGGCAAGAGAAATATTTCTATTTTTAAGTCAGTATATTGTTGACAGCTACACAATCAGATCAAGATGCTCCCCAAAACAGACCTTCCTGCCCTAAAATCCTATAGTGTTCTCCAAACTCAACTCTGGGCAGGTGAAAACTGTCAACCTCTTCAATGAGCAGCATGACAAACAGTGATCATTGAGCAGTGGTTGGCTTTAGTTAAACTTCATACTCTTGATTTGAATAGCACCAAATAAAGCCAGCCCCCCATCACCTGAGCTCTTCTGCCGACATGTCTTTCAAGTCTTTGTGTTTGGGCAAGTTCTCATCCAGCAAAGAGTATATCATGGCTCGAATCATTTTGGTGGAGAGAACCAAAGGAGGGTCCTCTAGTTCCATGAGTAGTTCTTTCTTTGAGATGTTCACAATCATGGCACAGTAGCTCTGGAACATGAAAAAATAACCAATATCTGTAAGAGGAAAGTCATAGTATATCAAGGTGGAGCAGTGGTCACTGATGTATGAGTCTCTGATTAATTGTGAGCAAGCAGGGTTGTTGTTTTTTAAATTTTTATTCCAGAAAAATGGAAACTACCATATAAAGGATGCATTCTAAATTTCATTTATTTGCAAACACTCTGACTACTTATTAAAGAAATAGGCTAAAGACGTATTAAAAAATAAAACATTTCCTAAGTTCTGAACTGAAAAGGCTATTAACAAACAATGTAACAAGAGCACTTAAGAATTTTGTACAAAACCAGTCACATAAGAATTTTGTACAAAACCAGTCACACCTACTGCAACAATCTGACTTTTCAATGAGAAACAGGATACACCCCCCCCCCCTCCCAAAAAACCCCCCCAAAAAACGTACTTTAACATCTTTCAAACCAGTGTGGAATGTATACATTGGCACTCTGGCCGGTAGTGTGGTATCTGGTAGATATACATCTGCACATGATACTATGAGCACTTATAACACTCAGATCCTTTATTCAAGGAATCAGAAAAGCTGACTATTATACAATAAACATGTAACCAGCAAGAAAAAACAATGTAGGAAAATACATATGCCACACAAAATAAAAAAATCAAACAAAGCTCACACACCTGTACAGTCATTTTGCTAATGAACTGCAAATTAATCTCTTTCTCCGCAACAATGATGGTGTCTCTGGTAAAGAACTTCACAAGCTTCTCCATCTATATTTGGGCATTAAAAAAACATTAACCAATACTCCTTAAACATGGATGTGTGTGAGAGTGTGTGTGTGTGTGTGTGTGTGTGTGTGTGTGTGTGTGTGTGTGTGTGTGTGTGTGTGTGTGTGTGTGTGTGTGTGTGTATGTGTGCGTGAGTAAGTGTGAATGTGTGTGTGTGAATGTGTGTGCGTGAATGTGTGTGTGGGTGTATGCGTGTGTGTGTGTGTGTGTGTAGAGAGAGAGAGAGAGAGAGAGAGTGTGTGAGAGTGAGAGTGATGACAGAGAGAGAGAGAGAGAGAGATACAGTAGTCCAGCGAGGTGGGAGCAGGGAGGGAGGGAGAGGGGGGGTAGGGAGAGGAGAAGTGAGGAAGGGGGAAGGGGAGGAGATTTTACGCTGGATTTGTCTGAGAAAAGGACAAATACATATTCTTGCATAGTGACTGATGCTGGATCAATAACAATGTAATAGAATAACACCCACAACAGGGCGCAAGATTCCACTTCCATTAGACGAGGATTCTTAAACTGCAGCTCCAGAAGTATGGTCTCTGAACCTGCTTTTAGAAAATACAAACATTGCATTCAGTCTGTGTTAACTAAATATGAGACAGCGTGGTGAAATCAGACGCTCGTTGGGGGCTCTCGTGGCCTAGAGGTTAAGGTGTTGGCCTTTCATTCAAATGGTCCCGGGTTCGAATCCGGGTAGCGACCGAAATATTTTCTTCTCTAAATTTGTCTCCTTTCACCTCATTTCCTGCTCTCTAGCAATGTTCTGTCGTCTGCTTTCGTCTCCTCTTTGTGCCCCCACCCACCTCACCTCCTTTGCCCCTTCCTCTGGGCTCCTGACTTTTTCTGCAGCCTTTCTACTGCTACTCCTTCGCTTTTTCTTACTGCTGTCTTTCTGCCACACCCCTGATCTTCTGGTAGGAAAGATCTACACCTAGCCTTCTCGGACAAGGGCGAAAAAATCTTGGAGGGCCAGTGTGCAAGTTGTGCACATTAGAGATCCTTTGGTGGTCTAAAATCGATAAGAGTAGGCTTCAGCCGCCACCCGGGCAAAATTCAAAATTTCCTACCAACTGAAAATATAAGGTGTGTCCCGCGCGCTCATATGACCTTATGCAGTTGCGAGCGCCGTAAAACACTTCACAAAAACAAAACAAGACGCTTGTTAAAACAATGAAATCTAAGAAATCAGCATTTTTCCGATTTTTTGACAATTTTTACTAGATTTTTTGTTTTGACTCAACATATTTTATGCCCATTTGAAAACATATTTCTGGATGGATTTAACTGTTTAAACATAGAACAAAGGCACGAGAATGTAATCTTGCAGTTTCCAAGGACTCTCAAATTTTGGAAGTCACCTAACTTTGGCGGTCATTTTTCACCAATTTCACATCTGAATCCAGGCAATAACACCTCCTTCGACCATCTGATTTAACAGCATCATACACAATTGGTTATATACGTTTTCTCTTCACACTCTACAGGAAGTAGGTCAGAAATATAAAGCTGACTGACTGCAACCTATATTTTTTTTTTACATTTACAAATTATAAATTAAAAGCAAATAAAACATAAAAATGATTGGTACTTACATTGTAGCATCCCTTTGTCATTGCATTAGTCTCAATCTTCAAGATTTTTGCACAAAACAGGCATCGGGGTGGTCTTGTTTTGTCCTTTTTTCCTCCTTTAAGATTTGCTTTCTTCTGGCCATCACCTGGATTATTCAAGGCCAGACTGTCGGCCATCTCTTTGGCTTGCAGCATTTTGCATACCTGGCGGTTGATATCAACCACATCCAGCATGACCTCTAGAATGGTAAGATTACTGGTCATGAGCTCATTGCAGATAAAACCTACAAAGCTATTTTTATCTTCATTTGTAGGGCGGAACATGGAATCATCAAACAGTTGAGCCTGAAAGACAAGAGTACAAGCATGTCTATGTTAACCAATTTAGTCACAAAGATAAAAGAACCCAAAAAATAATTCCACACAACATGAAGACTTGTCTGTTACACTAACACAGAAAACCACATATGGACAAATGATCATGCTGTAACCATTATAACGTAATGCAGCACACACGAAAGCCTTTGTTCTGGTGAGACCACTTGTTTACATAATAATAATACAGTCCATGCCGGCTTTAAGCACGGTCATCGGGAGAAAGCATAAGCGTGCTTCATGCTGAAGCGTGCTTGAGTGCGAAGTAGACATAATCCAGAGATTTTTATGTAGAAAATTTCCCGTGCCATTTCCCTTTGTTTGTAAGTAGGACTATAGCGGTCCCGCAAAAGTGTGCACTGTTATTTTTACCCACCATGGTAGTTTTTGTTTGCTTGTTTGTTTGTTCTTGTTTCGTTGTCGAATGGGAAATGGAAACTTAGACAGCCAGTCACGATACAGCACACAAGGCCTACACACAGCCTGTGCGTACCACTGCCCGCTGTGCCACGTTCATACCACCACCTTCATCCCACCTCGCGCGTGATACACAATCAGTATTAATAGATAGCGAGGGTCAAAGGTGAAATCGCAGCCAGCCTCCCTTTCTCATCTCCCCGACTCTCTTTGTATTTTTTTCGTCTGTGTAGCTTTGCCCTAGGTGGATCCTATGTCCACGCGCGTGGCTGTGTGCATCTCTCTGCCTTCCTCTCCGCACGTGTGTCTCCATCACTTGCGTTCTCTGTGTTTCTGTTAACACACTATACTGCGGCGGTGTAGACTGTGTTCGAACTTCGATGGGTCATCATTAAAGTATTGACTATCTAGTAATGAAGCGTGCCTGAAGCTGAAGTTACCGTGCTTAAAGGCATGTAATTTATACAGCAAAAATTTGGAGAGAGCCGTTTAGCGTGCTTGAGTCCGAAATGTGCTTTATGCCGGCGTGCTTAAAGCCGGCATGGACTGTAATTGCTACTGTATCATACGGGGGATTGTACAGACTTTTCCATTGCTTAAAATTGTGAAACCTAAACATTCTACAAGCCAAGCCCCCCCTTGACCTTCCTTCTTCTTCAGATGAAAAAGCCTTGGAGTGTTTATTTTTACTCCATTCATGTCATGAATGGATAATTTGTACAAGATCAGACTTTTTCAAAAATACTAAGTGACCAAATACTGTCTAATAGGAAATTGGCTCAATGACGCAACCCACAGAAGGAGATCAGATGCAAGTGGTTCATATCAATTCATAAAATTCAACAGAATACTTAATTCAAGATTACTCCCTTTCAAAATTCGCTGATGGAGAGGAAGCTATGCTCATCACCAGTTTTCAGTTTCAGTAGTTTTTTAAGCATTGGTTTTTTTAATGTTTCGAGTGAAACAGTGACAATAGGATTAATTTCCTTTAAATTCCAGGCTTAATTTAAGTTTCTGCCATCTGTTAAACAATGGTGATAATAGAAAATGGTCAAAAAAAGAGGAAAATTCCCATCGCCCTACAAACAAGCACCCCCCCCCCCCTACAAACCTTATTTGATGACCATCTGATTCAGAAACTGAAAACAGAGCAATGTAAAACAATTAATATAACTAGATCTATGGTCTAGCAGGATCAGACTTATTTTACTTTTTAATTGTACTGAAAAGGGGCAACAATGCTGGTTTTGTGGCTTTACCAATGTCGGCACCAAGAGTGTAATTGCTTTGTCGATGGTCGACCTCACTAACAAGTTTACTAGAGTCTAGATTTCTTCAGGTGCATCCAGCTTGCATCCTGACCTCGACTGGCATAATTTATCAAGAGATCACAATACTTGCACAGTGCTTTTCCCAGTATATCCACTTTCACAATTGAATCACCAAATGAAATGCTAGTCTCTCCTTTCTTTGTCTTCAACACAACGTTTTGATCGAACCAGTCATAAAGGAATTTGTGTTTTACCTTACTGTCAACTTCCCTCACACGAACACTTTCTTCTTTCGACAATTCCTTCATTTTGATAGAATTTAATTACATTTGGTGCCAAGATGAATAAAACGATGGTTTAAACTTAATAAACAGATGAATAAAACGATGGTTTGAACTTAATAAACAGAATAAAACATGCATGGTCGACTCAGAAATCCAAACAGTCACAAAGCATGAGAATGGAATGGACCAATCAGGTCAAATCCCGCTCAATGCAAAACATCCGGGTAGGCCTATAGTAAAGTTTCATTTTCAGAAGGTTTACTTCCGGCCCAGTGCCTCGTAGAATTATTTTATCACATCGGGCCAAGTTTCGACAGGTTGGATCGGGCTCTCACCTGTTATTGACAAAAGCACATGAGATTTTTCCAGTTGGTCGGGATCATGGAAAAGCGGAGCAAATTTTTCAAAAAAGAGGAAAATTTCTGACGGAAGGAAAAAAGCGGAAAATTCACAAAAAATTATCACCACTGGTTAAAAGGTCACGACATGCCTATTACATAATAAAGAAAAACAAAACTCCAGAACATGATTTTCTCACCCGAAGTTGAAATTTTGCATACAGCCTGATACAGTTAATATCTGTATCCTGACAAGACAAGACTTTTGCGAATCCGCATGGTTTTTGAATCAGGACAGAATTATAAAACCTATTATTTACTGCCCAAAAGCTATTATAAGCGAGGCATCGTGATGAAATCAGGTGCTCGTCAAATTAAGGTAGACACACATAGGAAGACACACTTGCTCACACGTAAAACACCTCAATAGCATCTTACATTTCAAGAGCTTCCTGGTCAACAGAACAATAGGATGTCCCATGCTTCCAACAACCATACTAGTGGATAGAATTTTTCTCTCAAATGAATATCATATTTTGCAGAAAAACATGAACTAATGAAAAGTACATTTCTTATCATTGAGATAAATGGCACTAGATGATAATAGCAGCTCTTTAGTCCAAGCTGTAATGACATTATCTTCTTATTTAGGACCTAATGAACAGCACATACATGGGTCCAAGATGAGCGGGATGAGCTATTATTTAAAAAGGACAGTAGAAAGAACTGAACAGTTAAAGAGTAGAATGAATTTTTTTTTAAAATCAATAACCACTGTTTGGGTATCAAACAAAACGATATTATGAGATAAGAGGAGGAAAAATTTGGTAACTCTACATATAAAGAAGGTAAAATATTCAGAAATATATGTTCATGCTCAATGTGGAACACGGCTTTTTCTTTTTTCTTTCAAATTGCTGTATCATCACCTCTTTTCCTTCCATAAAGTCCCTTCATTATAATATGTATATCTTACTGTCCATGCCCAGCTTTGTTCTTGCATCCACAAGTCTTTCAAGTATATTTTTTCTTACTTTTTCAACGTCATTCTTCTTGAAAATGCTTTACCTTTTTAACCATGGATTCAAAAGTTGTGGTCACCAGTTTCTTTCTCAGCCAGCATTTTGATCTTTCCAGCCTGTTGAATCTCGAATCCATGGCATAGTGCAGGAGTTTCAGTAATTGTTTCCTTATTATTTCCAATGAGATATGGCCAACCTAAGATAATAAAAAGAAGAGAGTCAATAAATCGCTCAAGGTCCCTTTTGTTCTGTTTTGTGGTGACTCCTCCAGTCCTATGCACAACTATATATCTACATTAAGTAGGCATGGACATCTATATGATCCACTGCATCATGATTCAAGTTCCAGCCCTCGTTAAAATTTTAGACAGAAGAATCAGTACACAAGCTTTCCCACTCCCTCCCACCCCCCACTTTTCCCCCAGGACAGCCTGGGGATAGCTAAAATAGGAAACAAATGCTAGGAAAAAAAGCACTACTAATGAATTAAATAATATAATCAAACACTTACAAGTAGTTATTGTTTTTCACACTCTGTTACTGTTCCATCTAACGAGTTGAAATGTCTTTGTACCTATTCACCCACATTCTCGCAGACAAAGATAGTGTCTGACACAAATAAGATCGCTAATATGGCACCCAAAATAGGGACATGGGACAAAAAAAGATAACTATAACCTAAAAATGTTTATTACCTTCTTGTGAATTTCTAGATAAAGTTCACATTTCTCAGTTCCACAACAATAACCAGAAAGTTCATCCTTGTGTCGAAGAAGCATGGATGGGTTTGAAGGATTTTCTTTGGGCATTACACTTTTGTTATAGCTGCATCCCAGCTTCACAGTTTCGAAAGATGATATAGGGCAGCTCTTCCCTGTTGACAGAATAATACATTATTATAAAAATGACACATAACTCATGTTTCAGTTCAGAGCACTTATAAACTTAATGTCAATTCTTTAAAAAAATTCCACTTACAGTCAAACCTGCCTTGACGGAAACTTGTGTAAGACGGAAACCTGCCATAACGAAATTTCCCTGTTCCCCTCTTGATAAATTCCTCTATAATTACCTCCAAAAAAACGGAAACCTGTCAAACGCGGAAAAGGAGAGAGAAATCCCTTCCCCTTGGACGGTTTTCATCTGAAACGGAAAATGCTTTGCCCATCCAGCCCTGAATTGAAACAAAACTATCAAAGCAGGTTCCATTGGCTCTTTAAACTTAACATTATGCCGCTAGGTGAGGAAGGAGAGTAGGGGTGCAATTTGGGAGACGATGTTGCCCCATCCATGTGAGCCCTTAGCATTGCAGATGGTCAGGGGGGTGTGGCTATGAAATCTCACTAGTGCTTATAAAAGTGCTTGGGCCAGAGGCCAGAGGTGTGATATTATTTTGACCAATGCCTGCCGCTCTAATCATATGGCCAGCCGAGAAAAGAGTTCCTCGAATCGTTACACATGAGGTTGTGGTGGCATTGGTTGACTGTGCCCATTGCACCAATGGGTGGGGCTAAGGGATGAAGCAATGAAAATATTAAAATGTTTCTAGTTTAGTAGGTTTAGACCAAAGATGACATGGAGGCGAGCGGTACAAGCAGAAATGGAAAAGGCGGGGACATCATGGAAACAGCTAGAAAAAGATGCACAGGACAGGCTTCGCTGGAGAAATGTTGTTGATGACCTATGTTCCACTGGGAGTTAAAAAAGGAAAGAGAAAGAAGTCAAAAAGTGGTCCTATGAGATACAAGCAGTGGACGCAACGGAAAAGTAGGACTGACCCATGCCAATATCAGTGAGGATAGCACTTGAGAGGTGTGAAGTTTTGACCACTGCTTGCTGACCAGACAAGCGACTCTTGGTCCCAACAGCAAAGCCCTTGAACCAGAATTTTTTTCTGGTTCCCTTGAGATTCCATCTTACACAGGTTCGATCGTATTTTTTAATAAAATGTCTACCTGACACAGGAAAGTGACTTCAAGGCTTAAACCCCATTCTCCTAGCTTCCATTTTCTAAAAATTTACCAGGCACAGGGACCTTCAGTGTAAACTACAGTATAAAGGCAAATACCTTTTCTAGGTCATAAATAGATTAGAACTGTATGGTATTAAGTTCTAAAGAACAAAAACCCTTCAGGAAATTTATTCAACGGTTGCAGGCGCAGCTTTCAAGAAAACATCACAGGGTCTTGCAATTCAACCCAATCAACAAAACAAAACAGGTGACCTTATTTGGGCTATATGTGGCCCAACTCATAACCCCTTTTTCGGGCTCAAGTAGCCCAACTTAGGTCACCACCCCTAAGTAAGCTTATTTGGGCTACGTATAACCAAGCATTCCTCATCTCTGAGGTTGCAACTCTATGTCTGTTATAGAATCTCGATCTATACTGGCGATTTTAAAAAATAGTACCACTTTTTGATTGTGTAAAAAATCTAGTCTTTAGAGTTTTTACGTTTTTCCTTTCATGTAAGTCATACTAAGCAGTGTAAGAAGTAGGTAGAAAAAAAACATTTTGATGCTTAATTCAGAGTTCACAGCAACCACAGAAAAAATGTGAAAATACGCATTTTTTTCTCCGCCACAAGGCAAATTTTTTCTATTCTTTGTTGTTTTAAATATGTTTATCAAATGCCACAATAACATTTGATCAGTCACCCAAGAAAGATGAAGGTTCAACATCAGAGAAATCAAGCCATCGAATTTCTGCCGTTGCCAGGACATTCAACATCAACAGAAAAACAGGCGATCATTATTCCAGTAGGTTAACTCTTCGGTATAAAACATGAGTTTGCCCGTCTTATTTTTTCTGAATATTTATTATACTGAACTGTAGTCTATAATTTATGCACAGGTATACTGTCAATGAGTATAGAGATAAAATTAAACTGAACAACAAAGATGCCCAAATAAGGTGGGTTGTTTTGGTGCGGTATTGTTTGTTTTTTTGGGGGGTTTTCTTTGGGGGGTGGGAGGAGTGGTTTACTTATTTGGGCTATACACTGCCCAAAAAAGCTCTCCCAAATATAATTTAAGAGAAGTTGGACAGGAGATAGATCAAAGGAATTTCTTTTATTACAACATAAACTGCTCAAAGGAGCATTAAATCACTGAACCATTATGGCATCCCTTCTTCCTCCTACCACATGCTTATTTACAGCAATGTGTAATTCGTAAACCATGCAGCAGGTCCCTACATCAAATAGAATAAAAGCATCATTTTAGTTAAGATTAAGTGATAATTGTACTAGTTAAAATCACAAAAACTACTCACTATCTTCAAGGTCATCAACATCCTGTACCTCTTTATTTACTATTTTCTTCTCATCGGTTACACCTTCCACTTTCTGTACTGGTTCGTTAGTCCTTCTCTTTTTCTCTAGTTTCTCCTTGACAATTTGGTCTTTGTCTTTTTTCTCTTGCTGCAAATCCTCAAGAGCACAATTGTTCTGATCAAACTTCCAGCTTTCTTTAACTGATGTCCGTGAACTACAGGGTTGATTAGCACTGGGTCCTGTATGCAGCCCTGATGAAGACTTTCGACCTGATAAGTTTCCACTGAAGCGTTTTCTCTTCCTTCTCTCTGGGCACTCTTCTACTTCATAATATCCTGTAGGCTCTATGTCATCATAACAATCCATCCTTACATTCATCTTTCGGCAAGGTGACTGATGCTCAATTTCATGTGCTTCATTACTGACATTCAAAGCGTCATCACCAGACCCATTTGTTTTCTTGTTTGTCCTTCTAGTTCCTGCTTTGAATAAGCCAGATCCACTGCAATTATCTCCATTTTTTTCAAAAATCAGTTCATCCGTCTCAAAATTGTCAAAGTCCCAGGAGCCATCATTACTCCAACGAGATTTCAATTCAGTGTTTGCTTTTTTCATCACTGGGAAAATTCTCTTTAATATGGAGCTCGCAATCTTACATGTTGTGAAAACAAAAGGCTGGGCACTCATATTTTCATCATCCCACTCGTCTTCCAGAAGATTTCTCGTAACATCTTGTTTACTTGTGAGGTAGTCATAGTGTGGTTGATGATGAGCAAACAGTTCAAGTTCATCTGAAGAAGAAAAAAAAAAAAAGAAAAGTTGTAAGAAATGAATTACCAGAAGAGTAGTCGGTTTAGTTTTTTAGTTTTAGAAGGGTTTTATGGCGCTCGCAACTGCATTCGGTCAAATGAGCGTCAAGGGGTGGAAGTCAAAAGAGAAGTCTAAATGGGGAATCAGACTTACTCTGCTCACCTCTCTAGCCTCAACAGCACAAAGTCTGCTTCGTCTATCAAGGCACCCCGGAAATAGTAGTTCATAAGAGAGTGACAAACATGCAAAAGAAGCACTATTTATAATTCTACTGTGCATAAGAATATGTTAATATACCCCCTTTGGGAATGGCCTAAAGACACTTCAGTCAGTGGCACTGCCCTTGGAGGAGGGGGGGAGGAGTTGGTTTACTTGAATTTTGGGCCCCTTTATTTTTATTTCAAAAGCTGATTACCAACAAGAAGTTACCACTGACGAACTTTTCAACTTGTTTAGGATGTCGAAATCATAGAAGAACATTGCCTTATGACCTGGTGGACACCCCCTTCCATAAATACAGGGTGGGACTACACTTTTTTAATGTAGTTTAAGTGTTTTATGGCACCTGCAACGCATAGGCCATATTAGTGCCAAAGATAAGTGTTAAAAGAGAGTAATAAACACTAAAAAGGAGGAGAATAAGGGCGTTAGATATTTGATAGGAAAAAAGGAGCACAAATCACACAAGAGCACCTGCCAACCACCCACATACTCTAAGGTAAAACAACAGTACAAAAGAAAAAAAGGACAGAAAACATCATGAATGCAAAATAAAAACACCATTAAAAAAAACTGACAGAATACAGCATATATATTATACGTAAGGAATCCTATCAGAAAAGTTGCATCCCTGTTGAAGGGACAATGGAACTTTCTATTCTGTAGCCAACCTGTGTACCCGCAAAATGTGAATGCAACATGTACATGAACATCAACAAACTGGGTTCAAAGAACTAAAATATTCTATCCTGAGTGCCATATGGTGTTACGGATTGCTTTACTAGTTTCTTCAGCTTCAAGGCTATGACGACGATCACATGAGACCAAAATTAACAAAAACTTGTCCAAATCACATCCATTTTTTGATGGTTTTAGTTTTAGTAGATATTTTACGGCGCTCGCAACTGCATAAGGTCATATGAGCGCCAGAAGATTAGAGGTGTTACAAGAGAGTAACAAACATAAAAAAGAAGAAGGGGCGAAACGGACAATAGATGTTTCACAGGAAGCCACCCACGATTTTATGATAATGTTATATAATTCCATTATACTTTTTTTTTACATTATATCAGTTCAATTGATGATTTTGCATAAAATTATTTCTATATTAATATTAAGAGTACATTCTCTGCTTTTATTCTGGTACATCACAAAAATGAACAATTTTTACCTTAATGCAAGTCAAATCAAGGAAGTTCACACAATTTGCTCATCGTGATTGCCTATAAGATGTTACATGTCCATCCTCCTAATCATGCGGGCCCTAATTCTTCTGTACGCAGATTTCAGTCACAAGCACAGCATGAACTCATAAATGAAAAATGTGCATATCTGTACCAAATTTGCTAATGTTAGTTTACTACTAGACTATCTATAAACACAAGTCTAGTCTTGTGGACAACTGCGGGCTTTCATAAATCGTAAACACCAAAATGACTTTTAAAAGGCAGAAAATTTCACTTTTGTCTTCAATTCGCATGTTTTTCTAAAATTATGGGTAAATTTGAAAATAGGTAACGAAGAAAGCGAGGAAAGTGACTTTAATGAAAACCAAAGGTATGAGTATTTGTCACAAGTGGATTTAATCAAGATAGAAAGTCTACCAACACTGAGACACGAGACTGCTGTCCTGGCTAACAAGATCATCTGAAAATTAGTGCTGCCTGTAGGAATGTAGGCCCCCTTGCAACAAAGGGGTGGAGCATAATTCTTTTTATCTGATATGTGTCACGACATGGTGGAATCAGGTGCTCGTCAATTTTTAAGTATATGAGGTTATTGGTATCATCTTAAAGCCTTTTCATTTGCCTTGCTTTTGGTGAAAAAAAATACTTATCTATTTTCAACAGAAGTCAAGATTTTTGCAATTGAAGGAGGAAGGGGTCGCCTGATTTCAGAGTTAAAAGTAGAGAGAAAACGGCCGCCAATAAGTGATGAATTCCATTGCTGGAGGACTCTTCTTCTTCTATCCCGTGGTTGGGGCAACCGTAGGGGGACCACTGCATTGGAAAACCAGCTCTCGCCATCTATTTTTGTCCTCTGCTCTCCTCAGATTGTCATCCATCGTCTTTCCTGTCCACTCTTTAATGGAGGACTCTGGGAAACTGAAAATGTACTTCTTTTTTTTGCCTCTAATCAACTTTTCCATAAAATCCACACATAAAAGTGTTTTTGAATTGACATACAAGGTGCTGAGCCAAAAAACAAAAATTCGAAAAACATGCCCAAACTAGCAGAAAAATGCCGATTTCTTGGATTTCATTATTTTGACGAGCGCCTGATTTCACCACGATGCCTCATATAGCAGTCACCACCAGTGTTAAAATAAAAACTGCACATCATTTCAAACTATTTTCTAAGACTAGATCTAAAAAAAAACAAGGGATATCACAAGGTCCATCTTGTTGGAAAATATGATGTAAAAATAAATTATGTCACAAAATTACCCTTTATTTGTAACACTCCTGCTGGTAGGGAAGTTACAGATCTGATCTTTCCTTTAAATACAGACTGGAAATGTCGCTTTCTCAATTCCCACTTCGCCTGGATTTCACGCGCATTCCTGTTGCTAAATTGATCCACTGTTCTCCGAATGAAGGCTTTGATCTGAAAGTAATAGAGAATAAACTGGCTGTCAATGTCAGACAATCACTATGATAGTATCAGCATTTGTTAAGTATTTCTATCACAAATTGTTCACAAAATAGCAATTAAAAAAATAATGGTATAGTACTCATATTTTCATTTTCAAAGACATTCTTATTCTTTTGCAGACTATAATGCTGTCACAGTAGTACAAACGTGAGCAGAGATAAAAACAAGACTAGACATGAAGCAGAAGGAAACAGCAGTAAACAGCCACACTTAGAAACCAAAGCCCAACTACAGGGAGGTCCTTGCAACACTATTCACACTGCTTCTTTGGCTTCATTTATGGTTGCCCCCACACAGATAGATAAGTAGTCACCTCTTCATCTAAAGGCCCCCTTCCCTCTGCCTTCATCCTGAAAAGGCCAGTGTTACTCTTGACCACAGGTTCCTCCGGGAGATGCCCCTAAACTTCCGCTTCTTACACAGGTGCCTCTCTGCCTCTCCTCTATATTAAGATGTGAAAACACATAAGGGCCCATTGGTTATTACCGCAGGTGGGTCATACATATATGTAGAAGTACCAGAAGGTGGAACAAGCAGACAACCTTCATTCACACCCCCCACCCCCACCCCCCCGCACTCCCTGTGCCCTCCTCCTTTTCTGGCAGATGAATATTTGGTGAGGAACACCACACCATAAGGCCAGTCAACACCCTACTCTCTTTCTTGTTTTGCACCACAAAACCTTGTGTTTAGCTGCACCTGATACGTGTATTTGACAGGACAAAGAAATTATCCTTGCATACATCTTGATAACAAGTGCCAGATGAGTTGAGATTACACTGCGAGTATGTACATAATGTCAAGTCAACTCACAGCTGAGTCGTCTTGATTTTTCACCGCAACATGCGAGGAGAATGATGCGACATTATAAAGATATGCAATCTTCTTCTTTCTCAAGGTGCACCAGTAGTGGAATTTTAATAGAGTTAAACAAATATGTGTATTTAAATGATCACATCTCATTCGTAGTTGTATGACTCATGTCTAAAGGCAAAGTGTCTTTGTCTTGTGTGTTTCATAGTAAAGCAGGGTTCTAGCACTCAGCATATTTTGTCAAAACTGTAGATGTGCATTTCTACTCCTAAAACTTGACCACAAGGCCAGATTCAACCATTTCTCAAGGTATTGGGCATGATATTCATTGTCAGTTTAACACAGATTTTGGAGAAATCCGTTGAACAGATGTTAAAATGAAGAATCATTTATGCAAACGTATGTAAATAAAAATAGGACAAATTAGATATTTTATAAACATGTTTGAAACAAAAACTAAGGCACAGAAAATAACCATTCAAGGAATGAATCAATCTCAAAACAATAAATTTTCAGTACATCAGTGTAATGGTGTGTAGTGTGGATGGGAAGGAAGTCATATTGTTTTGAAAGTTGACAAAAATGTAAACTTCTTAAAGGACACCGGCAAAGTCACATCAGGGCTAATTAAATCCTATGACCCCAGCAAGCAAAAAGTGATGCCATGTTCTTTTTTGTGTTCGCCATTTAGATCTCAGGGGTAGTCAAATACTGGTTCTTCAATCTGCAATACAACTGATTTTTATATATATGGTTACCAAATTTTTTAAAAATTAGACAGTTAATTTGGTCCTATTATTATATATCATAAGTGCAGCATATGCATTCAAAGTCATACTAACAAATCCACCCCCAAGTCCATGTACACGAGACATAATCTGATCCCATCCACTGCGAGCTCCCATCTTTAAGTCAAATAAACTGTCTTTCCAACAGTCATGAATAACCACTGAGTGAGGGCAGTTGTATTCAAACTCATTGTTTTGCATATAGGTAGAATGTATGAGATTTATTTCAAATTGAAGTGTAGAGCTGGAGAGTTTAAGTTGAAGGTTTGCTGAAGAGATAATTTTCGGGGCGAATATGTTTACGAGTTGCTTTTTTTGAGTGACAAATTAAGTATCATCTACCCGTCACTGATTAACTAATCAATGATTCAAGAATAGTACATGACAGACACAGCAAAGGGTGCACACTTAAAGTAAATTAAGAAACGCAAAGAGTATTGATAAAAATATTTTCCAATAGTAGTACCGAATGTGAAATGAGTGCCCTTTAGCTGTCAATCATAGACTTTTTAAAAAAATCAATCATCTGTAGCTTTTCCCATAATTTACCAACTTGGTAGAGTCAGTATTAACATATTCTTTGATGCCATCTTGCCCTTTCTCAACTACACTACCAAACCTAGAGATAGATTATGCAAACTACTAGGACAAAATCTCCTGGCTATCGATAGAGTTTGATTTGAGTCGAATTTAGCAAAGGCAGCTCTTTGTTTTGATGTTACCCTCAGTCTGTTTTGACAAAGGTCACAGTCGTATGGATCACTCCGCCTACGCGACAGGTGAACACCTCAACAAGCCACTGAGTTTGCGTGATTCAACCGTCCATTCGCCACCAGGCTGCAAAACTGGCACTTGGGCGGTTGAATCACATGGAAATTGGGGACTGGTGTGATATAGGCAATTGATTTACTGAAGGATTGAAACATTTTGCAGTAATCTTTCAAACTCGGGATTTTAACATAAGGTGGATCAAAGGCTGTACTACATAAAGGGATCAAAAAGTGATTTTCGAAAATTTTGTCACTTAGGCAGTAGAATCACGCAGCTAGCGATATATCAAAATTTCATCACAAAAGTGTATTACATCTTTTCTTCATTCTGTGAAAATTTAATGAGGATTGGATGAAACAAGGTGGAGTTATTTTAAAAAGTATATAGAAAAACCATGTTTCGAGAAAACGGACGATAAAGAAAAATAAAAGACTGACTTTATGAGGAAATGGTGGTGACAAACACGCCTGGAATGGGAAGAAATAAGGTTTTAAGGGGTTCTTATGTGATGAATTAGTGGTAAGAGAGGCTGAAGAAGCTAAAAATGCCCACAACTTAGAATCCAGTTTTGAGCCAAATCAGGACTTCCGGGGTCCCTCCCCTTAATCTGCTGAAGAGTCACACACAACAGGAACCCTCCCACCCCACCTCACCTTCCTTTTCTCTTTCCTTTTTAAGTAATGTTAACACAACAGTCCACACTAAGCTCTGCAAGCAACAAGTCCCATCACTTATTTCTAATCAGTGGCCCAAACCTAAAAGGATCTATGAGCATATCACACCACAAATGTTAAAAAATAGATTATTTCCCTCAAATGGCTACAAGCCATACAGCGTGAATTTAAGAATTTGAAAATGTTCTTTTTTTGTATGAATCTACATCGGTTATGGGAATCACAAGTCCGAATATTCTCACTCTCACTATGTCTGTAAAAAAAAAAATGGACTTAACAATTTTTGCCAAGAAACTCTTCACTTACAGCTGATGTGGCTTCATTTCTTCTGTCTGCTTCTTGCAAAATGAAGTACAAGAAAACAAAACACAGCAATCCATGCCATTGGAACAAACAAACACGAGCAAATCGTGCACGGGTGAGCCTGTTCTCCATCTTGATGAGGGTAAGAATATCTTTGCAGATGATGTTACTGAAGATCACACCTGCCTGGAATATAATAGACAAGCATGAACCTTGCATCATAAAAATACCATGAGTGTGGAGCAAGCTTTTACAGGTAGCAATGTCCTTACAATATCGCATCATCCATGCTCAATATCCGACTCCCATGAATGATGGTTTGCAACAGATCCCCCTTTCCTGAGAAAAAAGAACTTTTACATTAACCATCATCGAGGATTCTGGATTCACAAAACAAAATGCAGGTATGACCCCATTTTTCTCAGTTGTAAGACTTTGATACTACTAACATCTACTCAAAAAGCCATGTCTGGTGATCACACAAGGCTATTGGTTATCATAGAGCACAGCAAGAATGTGAGCAATCCTCTTCAAAAGCAGGTGTAAAAATGTATCACAATAACATATCAAGTTTAGTCATGATGATTGCATCTTCAGGCCCAAGAAACTCTTTAATTTGAAAGCAAAATCATATGGCAAGTTCAAATTAAGAAGGCCAAAAAAGTTAAAGGGCCTATTCTTTTAAAAAAAATGTTTGAAGACACGATTCACTTTGCACTTAAGTTTAATGGTAATACAAATATATGCACCAAAATAAACATTAATCGAGGCTAAAAAAAACTAAACAGTTAACAATTATGTCACAAGGAAAGGAAAAAAAAACCCAAAGCACATCTTAAAAATTTTTTTTTTAAAATTAAACAATTGGGCGTACCTGCTGAGGTTCATTAATGTAAGGTGCAGGCCAGTCGCGTAACCAGGAACAGAAGAGGCACACTGGACTGTCGTGTGTTCTTTCATACTGATTTACAAGTATTTCTTCTTTGATGCTCCAAGTTTCCTTAGCAAGCCACCTCATTGACGGAGGCAGCGGAAGAGCAGCTGCATTAATGCTTCGTGTAAAGATACTCCACTCTCTGAACACATGAAAAGTAAATGTAAAAATCAGTCATCCTTCAACCAGCCACTTAAATCTGTCTTTTCTTTCTTTTAAAGAAATTTTACACCATCTCAGAATCTGCATCAATGCATCTGGTACTTCTCCCGGTACATATAAAGATATAGAAATAATACAATCTCTCTTGAGAATAAACTTAGAAAGCTTCTTGCTGTACAACAAAATCTCTTGACATTATCACAGAATGCACTGCTCTAATTAGATCTAACATAATGTTCACAGCAACCCTTAAGCTTAGAAGTACAATTCATTGTTCATTCATTGTTTCAGGAAGCTACATCCTTGAATTCTGGACACGTCCATTGATGCTCCGTTGCTCTCTCCAAAATATCGCTGAGAGAAGCAGTACAAAGGAAGCTGTAATATTACAGAGCTTAATGTCAGCATTTTACTAATAAATTACTGACCCTTAGAATTCTGACTTTTTCCTATTTTTTTGTCAACTCTGTCTTGTCTTATTTTTAAAAGTCATATTAAAATTCAATATCTGCTCCCACACAAGTAAAAAAAAGTGGGAAAACCACAACAAAAAAGGAATGTCCGTTGAAATAAGAAACTGCAAATAAACATCATTCCAAATTCCCGACCATCTGAACTTTTGGTCAAAGAAATTTGCTCACATTTTAGCCCCACAAATGTAATTCATTTTTGATTCTGAGGTCACATTTTATGTAATAAATTCCCTTCCCTTTGAGCTTTCATATAATCAACATGACCATTTTGATTATATTATAGAGGCTAAAGAAAGATTCAAAATCTTATTAATATTATAAATGAGTTATTCTAAATAAACAACACAAAAAAACCCACAATTAAGTCCCTTCATAAGAAACCTTACAAAGAAGTGCTAGGCATTTGGCAAATTTTGTTTTCTCAAATCCTAGATGTTATAAATGAAAAAGTATCTCTACACATCTTTCAAGAACATCTGGTGTTTTCCTCCACCATTGACTTTCTCTTATGATAACCATACACAGGAATCTTATCTTCTACACATAACTCACCCAGAACTTCAACAGAAACACAGGGAAGAAATAAGACAAGAAACAAGCAAAAAAACAACAACTCAGGACCTTTGTTCCTCTAATGTATATATGCCCCAAAGATTGTAGACAGAATGAAGCTTTCCAATGTTAAAGACACTCTGGGCATATCCATGTGAGCTCCCCATGGCCATTACTACACCGTGTCTGGGAATCAATGGTTTGACTCCTTCCCAGTCATATTCAACAAGAAAATCGCGTCCAATGAATGGAGACTCTATGACATCTGCGAGGCCATCATAGAGTTTCAATGATGCACAACTGAAAACACGATATTGAACGGATAGAGTATAAAATTCATGAAACCTTAAACCTTGATCTGTATTACTATTACAAAAACATGTGAACACATGTCCACCTTCCATTCGTATTAATGGTGGTCACCTTAGACATGCGTTCAACATACAGCTAGACAGCACAGCATACATTCTGTGTGATACATAGGTCGTTCTGAATGACTGAAAGTAGTTTGAGAGTGCCATTGACCCATCACAAAAGCTTTTATCTAAAATCTGATTTGGAATGAGGAGTCCCTTTTTCCTTCCCATTAAAGCAGAGGTGTGTAATAAACAAAGATAGCAGTCCCAGGACAAATACACAAACAGGCCTGTTAGCATTGAGGGTAGAGCTGGTGGCTAACGCCTTGCTTCATGAAAATGTCCAGATTGTAGACTAATTGAATGATTAGCCAACCTAATTTTGTTCAGTTTGTAGAGACTGAAACAATGTTTCATTTTTGTATCTCAGTATCCCAAAATACAAAATACTATTCAAACCCTGATACATTACATAGTACTTCTCTGAAATCTGGAATACATTACACAGTACTTATTATGAATTTTGAAATGTAGACGACATTATTCCACTATTGTAGGCATAGTAATACAAGGTCTGACCAAGAGGAAAGTTTCCCTGTCTTATAACTCGCATATTTTTCAAGCAAATAGTAAGAAATTTTACATTACCTTATTTCAACATGTGTATAATTTCTACATCATTTTCATACCACTACACAACCCGGTAATTGTCATTAATATGCTTTATTTATGTTTACTTTTTGGGGCTTGATCACACCATGGCGATCAAAAAGATGAAAGGCTTATTCTCAAAATATGATGTTTCAGCAGTCATTAAGTTCCTGGTTCTTTTAGAGAAACTGTCCAAAAAAATTACCCATTTCCCCAATATCCTAATGGGGCCCAGTTTTGTTTCTGAACAAAAAATTTTGCAGGTTCAACATTCTGTCTAAGAAGACAGGCAAAAAACTGTGAGCAATATATCTGAAAAAGTTGTTTTGCTAAAGACAGCAGCTCATGAAATTCTCACAGACGATCGTAAGGCCACACTCTACTTCTTAGCACCAAAATTTACAATCAAGTGATTTTAACTGGTATTTTCTCATAGTATTCCATTCAAGGATTAAAAATATTCAGTTTTGGGAATCATTATCAGTTATATAATAACATAAATGGCAAATTAGAGTGAAACCCGACTATCTGAAGCTAAATCTATTAACTAATAATATATTTGTAATCTGCACACACATCTTAAGAAAATGACGCTAGCTTTTCTTGATATTGTAAATATCAATCATTCTATTACTGTTAGAAGACTTGCATATTAGGGTCTCCAGTGGCTAAGTAGGTGAGTTTAGACTCAAGTAATGTCAAGAAAGTATTGGTGACATGGGGATCAGATGGTGGTCACTGGGGTGTGTCCTTAAGCAAGACATGACAACCCTAGCTCAAAATACAGGGTGCTGCACAGTGGCGCCTGACAATGGCATGGTTGTATACTGTTTTGTATTTGTGTAATATTGTGTATTTATGTTTGTATTTGTGCACGTATTTATGTATGTACGTATTAATATATATGTATTTTTATGTTTGTCACTGTAAACCAAAGTGCCCTTCTGGGAAAAATAAAAGAGAAATTTTTTTTTTTTTTAAATAAGCGAATGACAAAAATAACAAAGTAAAAAAATCCTTTAAAATATTTTTTAACCAAATATTAGAAAAAGCTACGGTAATTTTATTTAAAATTGCATGGTGCACTTATCCTTCAAATTTCATGTCTCTATCTTGGATGGTTTTTTAATTGTTAGTTTTTAAAGCCTAGAAATGAACATTTTGAGGAAAGGAGCAAAAACATCTCAAAATTGTTCTAAAGTATTGGCTCACAATGTTACAACCTTTATACAGCTATCTCTTTGAAATAGAGCTTTGGGAGTACTTCCATCCGATTTAGCACATAATTTTCAAGGGAAGTTACTTAAAGCCCAAAAACATTGTTTGGACCCAAATTAGACCCCAAAACCTCATGTGTGGCCTTAATAAAATAAAGCTTTGTGCAAAATGGGTTCCTCGTCTGCTGATTGACGGGCAAAAGGAAGATCAGTGCTGTTTTACAGTGCTCGCAACTGCATAAGGTCATGTGAGCGCGCAGGACACTTGAAACATTTTCAGTTGGTAGAAAAAGTTAAATTTTGCATTGATGGCAGCCAAAGCCTACTCTTATCGATTTTGAACCATCAAGGGATCTTTGATGTATGTAACTTGCACACGAGACCTCAGAGATTTTTCGCCCTTATCCGAGAAGGCTAAGTGTAGATCTTACCTACCATAAGATCAGGGGCGTGGCTGAAAGACATCAGTAAGGAGGAGCCAAGGAGTCAGCAGAAAGGCTGCAGAAAGAGTCAGGAGCCCAGCAGACGACAGAACATTGTAAGAGAGCAGGAAAGGATATAAAAGGAGAAAATTTTAGAGAAGAAAATTTTCCGTCGCTATCCGGATTCAAATCCGGAATCTATTGCATGAGAGACAAACACCTTAGCCTCTAGACCACGAGAGCCCCCCCCCCCCCCCAATCGAGTGCACACATGGTTTTGTCCACCAGGTACAGAACAAAGGGACAGATCTTTTAAAAAATATAACGGGTGATATGAAGTCAGTCTTGTTGTATGGATGTGAGGCATGGAACGCATCTCAGACTTGCATAAAGAGGATCCAGGTTTTCTTGAACAGGTGCCTAAGGAAGTTACTGAGATGGACAGAAAAAGTTACTAACGAAGAAGTATAAAGAAGAACGAGACAGAGCCCAGTCAGAGATGAGATGGGAAGAAGGCGTTGGCGATGGATTTGGACACACTCTCAGGAAGTCAAGCAGCTGCATAACAAGGAAAGTGTTAGATTAGAACCCACAGGGTAAAAGATCAAGGGGAAGACCACATGGAACCTAGAGAAGAGTCACGGAAATGGATGTACAGAAAAGTGGGAAGACATGGAGTAACATCAAGCAACTAGCCCAGGATAGGGAAAGGTGGAAAGTGTTCGTGGCCTATATCCTGATCAAGGGTGAGAAAGGCAATGATGATAACAGATGATGAAACATGGGTGTATTCAAGGGAATCAGAACCAGTAAACAATCAGCAAAATGGAGAAACCCAGGGCCACCACAACCCAGAAAGCTCGATGCAAGAAAGGTGCTTTGAAAGTTATGCATGTCATGTTTTTCTATCACTAAGGTGTGGCAATTTTATTGGAACAACAGTCAATGCTTACTATTACAAGATGGTTTTTCAAACAAAGCTGAGAGCAGCAATCAAAAAAAAGCTGCCGGGTCTGCTTGAGCAAGGTGTTGTCTTCCATCATGACAGCACACTTGTGCACACTGCTCAACAGGTCACCGATTCCCTGAACTGCTAACAGTTGGAAATCCCACTATTCCCGAGAACAGGTGTCTTTCATTTCTTCCCCAAAATCAAAGGACTAAGGAGATAGAGATTTCAACAGAAGGAAGAAATTGGAGTTCAAAACAAATACTGTGCCAAGGACTAGTCGAAGCAGACATGGTCACTGAATTTGACCGCTGGCTGCATGGGATGAAATAATACATTGAGGTCACGTGTGCAAGTTGCGCACATTAAAGATCCCTTGGTGGTCTAAAATTGATAAGAGTAGGCTTTGGCCGCCACCCGGGCAAAATTCAAAATTTCCTACCAACTGGAAATGTTTGGTGTGTCCCGCGCGCTCATATGACCTTATGCAGTTGTGAACGCCGTGAAACACTTACTAAAAAAAATATATATTGCAGAGGTAGTCACCATTTAGCCTTCCACCAGCCCTACTTACCGCCGGGTTTTGCCAATGCACAAAAAGCAATGCCTTAACTCTTTGAACCCCATCGGGCACTGGGAGCATCCAGCGATGATAACCCTGTTCCCCATCGGACGCTGGGAACGTCCAGTGCTAGTGACAACTGTTTTGTTTTATTTAGTGCTAGTTTTTGCTTGTTTTTCGGAACTATTCCCAAACCAAGTTTTAGTAGTGGCTAAGCCTTTGTTTCCGCTATTTAGAAGTTGGAGGCAAGCTTTTGGGGTTATAATGAGACATAGTGCACTAGGTTTAGGTGACTGTAGAAAAAACTCAGGGAAACGGTGGAAAAAACTCAGGTCTTAAAGAGTTAATGAACATTATATTAGTCGCCCCTCGAAACCATCATCCACCAACAGCCCAAGTTGCAGGGTCTTTAACAAACTAATGTAAATTTGTCTCACAATACCACCAGCAAAGTGGCCATCAGAGGTAGGTACATACTGCACACAGAGTACAGCACCCATCCTGTAGCTGTGCCCACAGTAATAATCCCCCTTTCTCTGTGAGCTGGTGCTTCTCCTTGATTTGCTCCCTCCCCGCCCATCCCACCTTCCCATCCTTGTCTTGTAAATTTCAGGCAACATGCATTTGACATGTAGCCTCTGATCCAGAAATTCATGTAATTTCCTATTTTAACTGGGGTCATAACCTAACACTGAGCTGGGGCTGTGATTGATTGGCATTGCTTTTTATTTGCCTATGGCAAACATGCGCGATAGATCTAGACAAGGAAAGATTGGCCATACATTGTCTCTACCACTATGTCTTCTATCATTAGACTAGATTGCAGAAAAGTGTTCATGCTTGACCGCTCACAGAACAGTGCTCATGTTTGAAGGCTCAGGAAAAGTAAAAGATATGTAAACATTTTTAAAGCATGGCCTGTAAAGCCACAACAGCAACCCCTCTCCATTTCTCTGTAGTTTTGCTCAAGGTAGTAAAATCCTCTGGTTATCATATTGAATATTGTGTCATTCATTTAGTAATAGTAGAATCATTTCCCTTGATGATGGGCAGTCCTTGCTATTTAAAAGAGGACCCCATTAAACAGCTGGCTCCACAATAAGGCAAACTTCATTTCCAAATCACTGTCATACATTTGAGCATAACATTCCCGCAGCATTCAAACTTACTAGGATTTTGGGGCTGTGTTTCTTAATAAGGCCTCCAGCAGAAGTTGAGTGATCCACACCAGAACCACAGTCAGAGCAACACAAACTTCGGGGGTTTTTAAAATCTCTGGCAGATACTGAGGCGCATCTCTCGAATCTTGCACAAACTGTTGTGCAAATGGTGAACAACATTACACATTTTACAAAGAATAATGTCATACAAATGATAAATTATTAAAAAACCTAGCAATGAGACCAACATCTCTTTTTTTCAATGAATCTGAGTATGCTAGAACCTATCTATGCTATACTTATTTTGGAGCCTTTAAAATATTATCTTAATACTTTAAAAACAATAGTTTATGATTGTTTAATTCCCACACATTAAGATGAATGATGTAGCTCAATTCCAACATGCTAAGTCAAACGATTCACTCCTGTGGAAAAATCCAAAGTCATTCAGATTCAAAACCTCAAAATTCATTTATAGAATAATAATAATAATAATAATAATAATAATAATAAATTGCATTTATACTGCGCATTTCCACAAAAAAGTGCTCAATGCGCTGTACAATAATACAAAGAACATATGGAGCGCACAGCTCCTATAGTAACTCTCTCTCTCCCCCCCCTCTCTCTCTCTCTCTCTCTCTGTCTGTCTGTCTGTCTCTCTCTTTCTCTCTCTCTCTCTCTCGCTGTCTGTCTGTCTGTCTGTCTGTCTGTCTGTCTGTCTCTCTCTTTCCCTCTCTCTCTCTTCCCTACTCTCTCTCTCTCCAGTACATACTTGAGTAAAGACAATCCCACAAAACTTAACCAGACATCCTCGTACACATTGATGACATCACACAGTCATAAATTGTTACAGAACAGAATAGCATGAAAAAACGATACTTAGAGAACATAATAATATTTGTATTGGGAATGTCGGAAATTACAGATTGAAGCTGGACTGAAACAAATGCGTTTTAAGTGCTGATTTGAATTTTGTTAAAGTGGTAGACTCCTGTAGATGAGCTGGCAAAACGTTCCACTGGGAGGGGACGTGGTGTGAAAAAGCTCTCCCTCCGAGTCTCTTGACTTTTGCTTTGGACAGGTCTTAAAAGTCTTTTCTTCTTAAAGGTCTAGATGGTTTATATTCGAAGACCATGTCACAAAGATATGATGGTGCAATGTTGTGGACGCACTTAAAACAAAGAAAAATTAATTTGTACTGAGTTCGGGCTTTCATCAGGAGCCAATGTAGTTGAATTAGCATTGGTGTTACAAGCTCTTTGAGAGATTTCTTTAAAATTATGCAAGCAGCTTGGTTCTGGAGTCTCTGAAACCTATATTTAACGTTTCAGTGGGAAGGTTTCCAAACAAAGAATTGCAGTATTCTAGACATGAAAGGACAAAAGAGATGAGGGTTTTGATGGAATCAACACTAAGATATGCTGACATTTTTCCTATTCTGCGTAGTTTAAAATAAATTACTTTACATAGATGGTTTATTACGATGGTGCATAGATATTTTGCAATCAAAATAAACGCCTGGATTTTTCGCTTTATCTCTAAAATAGATGTTATGCCAAATACAAATATAGTCAAAATTGCAAAGCAATATCCCTGGTTTAGCATTGCAAAACAGAACATCGGTCTGTTTGATATCAACAGTTTTTTACATCAACAATACATTTTTCCATGCTAGTAACTAGACAATTGAAATTTGTTGGTAAAACAGACTTGTACAGCTGAATGTCATCAGCGTACATGTGGTAGTTAACGTCGTGCTTCCTAATTATTGAACTAAAGGTTTTGTATATAGTGTGTATAAGAGTGGTCCGAGCACGGACTCTTAGGGCACGCCAAATTGCAAGCTGAAAATGGATGACATTTCACCATTTACAAGTAGGTCTTCAGACAGTGCGATTAGACAAATAGGACACAAACCATTCAAGAACAGTCCCAGATAGGCCAAAGCTATGGCCTAACCTCCTGATCAAAATTGAATGATCAATGGTATCAAATGCAGCACTTCTTAGATCTAGTAAGGCAAGAACAGACACTTTGCCTTCGTCTGCTTTACAAAGGAGGTCATTCTTAACTTCTAAAAGTGCAGTTTCTGTGTTATGAAACGCTCTACAGACCGACTGATAATATTCTAAAAGATTATTTTCTTCAAGATGTGCTCTTAATACATCTTCCAGTTAATGCTACGTACCTGATACAACTCAAGAATGGACAGGATCATCACAGGAGAGAAATACACCATTATTGTGTTCACAATGTTGCTGTACATGCCAAATCTCACAGGTGAATTCATCATTGAAAGCCAGTTATGATACAGAAAAAGAGATTTAAGGATTCCATTTGAGTCTCTGAAATAAGAAAAAACAATAACAAAAGCTATTTGACCTAAATCTGGCCAAGAAGTTCAAACATGTTGCATTGTTCATTAGAATGTTTAAATCTCAACATATTTACAGTTTTCTGAAAATTCAGAAAAAAAGCAAAACCACACACCTTTGCATAGCATGAAAAGAAATGTGTGACGCCTTTACAATCACACGATGTAAAATCTAAGGTGACTGATATCAGTTTTGATCTGATTTTAAGTTTTTGCTCTTAGAAAGTTGATTGTGGGTGATCTTTTAATATTGTCCTCATATTAAGCCTATGAGCCTGAGTGCATGCCTCAAAACAAAAGCTAGCTTTACCCCTTTGTACACACCCAGTGCATGCCTAATTGCAAAGTGGTCTAACTGGAAAATTTGTCAGGGGCCCCTGATAATAATAATAATAATAATAATAATAATATTAATAATAATTTAAAAAATAATAATAATTAAAAACAGCATTTGTATAGGGCATATCCCCACTTGAAAGCAATCTCTATGCATTTTACACTATTATTACCCCAGCAGACCATAGAACACTCAGAAACATTCTCAACTTCCCGGGAAGCATACAGTGCTAGCAGCTATTAAACGCTCAAACACTAACAAACTAACAAGATTATTTCACTGTCTAAACTGTCCCCAAAGAAATTCACGCTCGCAACCCGCAACTTGCGCGCTCATCTTTTGCCCTCAGAGCAACTTTTGCCTTTTTCGTGAGTTCACAAAGTTTAGCCAATTTTCCCAAAAAAATTAGGAAAATAATAATAAAATCTTGTTAAAAATAACCGGAACATTCTTCCATAACGATGCTAAAGGGGACAATCCGTACCAGAAATAGGCGCTACCACTTGTTTTGTATGAGGTGCCCATTGTCCATTGCGGATGGGATCGGGTCGGGTTGGGTCGGGATGATTGCCCAACTCGTCACCTGAAAACAGTTTGTTTTTGAGGCAACGAGTCGGGCGCGATCGGCTTGTGCCACAAAAACCGCTTTGCGCTCTCAATCTGGATAGCAAACCGACCTGACCCGATCCCCAATGGTCCTGTTTGGACTGAATCATCTTCTAGCTAGGTCTAGGTCTAGATCTACAGAAAATCAATCGTAAACACAATCGTCTGATTACTTAGCTCGCATTTGGTTCTGTAGCACCAGGAAGATATATCTAGTATAAAAATTTGTGAAGGACTTTTAACCTGCTTACGCAAGGAGGGAGGATCTCGACATGGATCGATTCATCAAGAAAACCCCTTAACCACGCTGATCTCACCTGCCCAACATCAGCAAGAGTTTAAGGACCTAAGGGGGCAAGTCCACTGGCATTTTTTTCGTCAGTTGCAGGCCAGGCTCATACGCAAATGAGTTTGTTTTCGTCAGTCACTGACTTATTTTGCCTAACTACGTGATTTTCCAGCTTGCATGTTTTTTTGTCAGCAGTACAGGTGACTAAGAAAACCTTGATTCAACTCATTTTGGACGGAAATTTGCATCTACAGTTTTGCTTCCTCATTGCACTTAACATTATCAATATACTTGTAATTATTAAAGTTGTACAGTAGTAGATTTGTGCTGAAAAACAAACAAAAATGGAATTAAAGCACTTGTCCTAGATTATTTCGTACTCAGGAGAGCTAAAAATAAGTTAGACCTAGCCTTCGCGCAATACGTAGGTATGAGCTAAAATGTATGCCAGGGATAGACTCTAGCCTCTGTACAATAAAAAGGAAAAAGGCAGTATTGTCTAGACCTATACTTATGTTTCTATAGATCTACACACTAGAAAAAATGCTGAAAATGTAAATAAATAAATAAATAAATTGCCTGTGCCTGTGCTGTCTGTTGTTCTCGTAATCATAACACACTGGGCTAAAAATAGGAAAAGCCTAGCTGGTCTGAGGTGGTGGATGTGGATTGTCGGTTCTACACCATGCACAAACGTCGTACATTAGCCTGGCCTGGAAGTGATATTTTGGTGACGGACGCATAGACTAACGCATGTGTCAAGGGACACCCTGTTTTGTACTCCATGCAAGCTCCAAGCAGTTTTTTCTTTAAACATTCACATTTACTTTTGATTTTGATCTAACAAAACTCATGTTGGTTCTTTGATTGCAATGAGCATACCAACTATGTATTCCAATAATTCCATGATATCTTTTTAGCTCTATACACGAGATGCACTTTGCTTGCAACTTTTGTTAATTTTTCTTGCAACTTTTTCTATTTTCAAATGCAATTTCTCCGGGGACAGTTTATAGCTGGGTACCCATTCCCACCTGAGTCAAGTGAGGAAAATTTGTGCAAGATGCTTTTCTCAAGGACACAACGTCGGGTCCTTGACAGGATTCGAACTCACGACCTTACGGTTGTGAGTCTGACAGCCTAACCACTAGGCCACCAACGATCATTTTTTAATTTTTATGTTTTGTTTATCTCATCTAGGTCTGAATTGGTTCAAAGACACAACGTTGGGCCCCTGACAGGATTCGAACCCACGACCTTACGGCTGCGAGTCTGAGAGCCTAACCATGAGGCCACCAACAATCATTTTTATGTTTTGTTTATCTGATCTAGGTCTGAATCCACTAAATTCATTTTTCAGTCATTTGAACAGTTTTGTCACTAAAACAAATCTCTAGAATAATATGTAAACCTACAGTCGAACCTGCTTTAACGACCACCTATCCAAAACAATCGCCTGTACAAACAATCACTTCTCATTTCTCCCTTTGCATTTTTTCCTACATTATAAACAATGTGCAAGATGATGCCCTGTTTAAGATGACCACTTTCTTCCCCAACTACATATCCTTTTACAGCTCCCTAAGGATTATCAGCACTGAATAAAATATATTGTTTAAAGAAAAAGTAACAAGACAGACTGCAGAGAAATACCTCAGGCCTGGGGTGCAGTCAAATGTCATTGCCATTTTGTCATGACAAAAAAGTTTTTCTTCGGGTTGGCATCCCCAATGTTTTTTTGTGGCAGGACGCAGCACTGACACAAAAGATGGAAACCTACATAAAACAAAGAACAAAAGCATAGCTTCATCATCAAAGATCACATCTCTCCTTTCATGCATCATTCTACTTTAATAACCATAAATTAAAATGAAAGATAAAAAATAGAGTAGAAGCTAAACTGTTAGCAGTTGAAGCCTTCAAATTCAAAGAAAATGATACTGAAATAAAAGTAATAAAAATATAGTGTAAATATCCACCCATCTCACATTGTTTTTTTGAAAGATAAAAGTCACAAAACAAGTCCCTTGAAAAATGCCCACTCACCTTTGCAAAACAAAAGTAACAAAAAATTGTAGAGCAAATTGGAAATGCTTCTGAACTACCACACACTTCAGATAATGTCCAATGTAAAAAGATAGCTTTTGGATGCAGTGTAAAAGTTAAGAACTATTTTACACTTAACTCTTTCCAGACATAGTTTTTTTGGGTCTAGACATAACCAACCTGTGACTCGATTTGGCTATGCAGGTGGTGTACAAAATAACTTCATAGAAGTATAACCATAACTGTAACATAACATATGATTTATCAAATTGAAGGAAATTGAATGAGGAATACATCTCAATATAAAACAAGGATTAATTTTGAACATATGTATGCATTAGAAGGGTTTGAAATGGGGATGGTGATGAGAAAAATAAATTTTGACGGGAAAAATTACATTCACCAAACATGTGAAAGCAAACCAGAATAGCTATCTTATCATATACAGGCCAAAAGCATAATCCATAAATTTCTGAATGCGCAGCTTTTTATTTGAAAGCAATATTCCAATTTTTGTTTGAGTTATTAAATTTATACGGAGTCCAGTTACATCGTTTTGTTGATGCAAGACTGCAAGAACTAATTCACTCGTTTTCCATAAACCCACGCTTTGACAAAGTGAAACTAGATGTTTTCGTTTCCCAAATCCTTTCCGAGTTTTTCAATAGCAATAAAAATTAATTATAAATGACGGATTGGGTTAAAACAAAATAATACGGAAGCACCCTATCACGACCGATATATCGGCGATACGTCCGCAAGGGGCGTGGACTCGTGCCAATATATCGGCGATACGTCCGGAAAGAGTTTATTCAAAACCCGTGAGAAAACTTTTTAAAACATCAAACTCACCAAGAAATGAATGGAATTTCATAAGGAGCGTCATTGATGAATTCAAATTTGAAACTCACAATGTCACCTAAATCATCTGAAATAGAAGTATCAACGTAATAGTGAGCATACTAGAACCAAATTAAGAAACTTAGATAAACATGAGGCAACCATAATACCTAAATCTAGTTGTGTTTGCCCCGATATTATACTTTAAAAAAATCCTTTGCCAACCGGGTAAATAGGACAGCTTCTCTGACCACATGAATGAATACCCACAGGCGAAACCATCACTGTAGTTGCTTTGAATCAATATCCAGTAACCAATCAATTTGAATTACATTTATTTCGTCAGTCCTTTCCTGAGGCATGACAAGAGTCAAGGAAAAAGACACATTCATTTCTTTTTTCAAAACAGTCAAATTAAAACATCTAGGCCTACGTCAAGGTGACCTCTGTCACTGCATTTTCAGTCACTGAAAAGAACTAGAAGATGTCAAAGTTTGCTACATCAATTATTAAAGAACACTGAAATACCGACAGCACATCTTCAGATTTCTTTTTTTTTTTTTAAATCACATAACTGACTGAAGAGTTAGATTTTACTTGTATTAAAATCTAAAGTTAAACAGAAAACCCTAAATACATACAAGGTGAATGGAAAACGAAAATGTTGGTGGCGCCACGGGCAAAAAAGAACTGAATGCCTCTTCCTTTTTTCAAAAGAAGAACAGGGGAATCTGCGAAGGATCCAAACAGCTGTATAAATATCCGTCCTCTCAGCTGACGATCAAATGAGGACTCTGGTGAAAATTGTAACAAAAAGAATGAGACTAAACGAGTGACAATATTTTGATAACAATATGACTGAAGAGCGGTCAAAAATTTGTGGCGAAGTTATCCTCAAATATCTCTTTAACAGGTAAATCAATGTCATCAATTCTTTGCACAGCAGAGTATCAATTTGTCTTAACTTAATCATATTTTTCCATAACAACTGAGGCTAGATTTGAAAAAACTTTTCTCTCTATAAATCTATTTAAATACTATAAAATCTCCGTCATGTGGCAAATGGAATTGTTCACAGAACTTCCTGCTTCTCACAGACATTTTGCATACACACATTATGACCTACGTCATAGCTCACCAATGACACTTTTTAGAGGTAAAATTTTTAGAATTAGAAGAGACTGATTTTAGAGTGAACACTTTTTTTACAATTTAAGGCTCTCAAAACATACGTTCAATAAGCATTGATTTGGGAGAAAGAAGACGGGGCTTGCTTTTAAAAGTGATGTTGTCCCAGCTGTAAACCTTTTCAAATCTGTAGAAACCACCCATTGGGATTTTTAACAGAATGAATTTTCTAGAATACAGCTAACAGGTGTTAACACAAATTATACAAGTCATTGCGCAAAAGTTGGAGACTTTTATCTCAATAATAGAGGAAATATGGAAATATATGACAATAAGTTGCACCACGTATAATGTATGATTTATGTAATACTTATCAAAATAGGCCACATGCCTCCATGTTAAAGTGTTACACTCTATACATAATTATTAGACTTTTGTAATATGGTGGTCAGAAATAAACAAAATTGGACAACAATTTAATTCAGGTACAACAAAAAACAACTTTTTGACAAGTAAGTTCTGCATACAAATATAGAGATGTTATGTCAAAATACAACTGATCAAAGACATAATATTAGGGAAAAAGAGACAATGAAAGGAAAGGGGGGGGGGGGTATTCTCACCTGGCCTAAGAGATGTCCTGATCAGGATGAAGTACTCACAGAAGTACTGTCCTGTTGGTGCCCGTGCCATGGGATAAACAATAGACTGAGGAAAAAGAGCTGATAATTAATGGAAGGTTTCATCACAAAATGTTTTATAACTGATGGCTATTTTGTCGCTAATTTAGAGGCAACCCCCACCTCCTTCAATCGCAAATATCTCAATTTCTATTCAAATTAGATGAGTAACTTTTTCATCAAAAGTATGGCAAATGAAGAGGCTTTAACTTTAAGGTGATACCAATAACTTCATGTGTCATGACACTGATTTGTAGACTAAAAAACAGATTTTTATTTAGTCAATTAGAATTTTGAAATTGTATTGTACACAGACATTAACAATATTTTCTAGAGTTCAATATGGATAGTCAATATGACAAAACAGGCTACTAGCAATCGATTTTTAAAGAAGTAACAAATTCAAGGCAGGCAGTACTTACATCAGTGCGAATGTGCAAATATGACACAACCAATGACAAAAAGTATGCAAGCATAAGCAGTGCACCCACACTGACAGCAAATGTACCTCCCGGTTTGTCAGTGTCTATTTCAAAGTCTAGAACATCCTCGACATTATGTTCATAAGACAAATTCACAGATGACATCTTTCCACATAAAGTGACCTGAGAAATAAATCACCAAATGTAAGTCAGTACCAAAACTAAAAGCATACCCTGCAATTTAAAAAATCGTGGTAAAGCTCCAAGTTGATGACCCAGGTCCCAGGATGAAAGTCAGAAAGACATGTCATGCAAGAGTAGGACTAGAGATAATTTATTTTGGTAAAAACAAGAAAGTAAGAACACAAAAAGCTATGCCATAGCTTAGAAAAAAAAAAGTCTGAGACAGTGAGTCAAAGGGTGGAAAGTGCTCAAGATTGAACAAAGAAAAGCTGTCAACCAAAGTTGTAAAATGAAAATGAAAAAGCTCTAACTTTTTACACTCTAGCACTTTATTCTAAACTACAAACCAAAGACTAACTTTCTGATCATCTAGAGTAAGTCTACTAACTGTGTTACACAGTGTGGCCCTTATACACAGAATTCTACACTTAGTGTAGAATTCTGTGCCCTTATATTTCCTTCCCTGCAGTCTTAGCAGTCTATACATAATTTCTCCTGATTATCATTTCTGCCGAATTCCCATCCCTGGACTATGCCATGAACGTGCTTAGCCCTAGCTGAACCATCACCACAGAATACAGTGGAAATCGGTTTCAACAAACTCATCGGATTCAACGAAAGAAATTTAACTCCCATTTTTGTCTATTAATAAAAATAAATTAAAATAACTCAGATTCAACTAACACAAGTGAGCAGGCTCGGATACAGCAAAGTCGCTTGCAGGGCAAGTGATCCAGCATGGTACGTCAGGAGAGATACAAATGCGACATGTTAATTTTTTTCCCCTGCTACTGATCAATATTACAATGATAAGCTTATCTTGACATTGATTGATCTACATGACGAATTGCGCGCTGGACTGTGGAATCAAACGTTGCCGTATGCTAGGTTCTTCACGGCAACATAGCTTGTTTGGCAAACAATATGTTATAATAGATGATATGACACAGGCGTGCCTTTGAACAAATCTGCCCTTTTGCGCAACGTGTGCTTGGTAAAGTTCAGTGTACTTTCCTGGAATTTTCCAGCATTTCCTTGGTATCAAATCTAAACGAAAATGCCTGTCATTAGAAACCAAATTGTACTAGACTTTAATTTATAAAGTCGGATACATTATACATTACTCAACCAGTCTCCAACCAACATAGTAACAGAGGCAAACAGCAAGGGCAATTAGGACCAGTTTAGTAAATGATAGGCCTACATGATCTGTCAGTATCAATGTAATCTAGATCTAAAAGACAACACTAAAAGAGAGCCAGAAGTTGCCATTTTCACAGATGCCTGAGACCTGAGATACCCTCATCCTCTGCGCATTTAGAGAGGTCTTGGCTCAATAAATCTAATTGAAAGGAGAAGAGGTATAGATCTAGGCCTAGGCCTAGGCCTAACTTGTTCTTAATGTTTTTCAGGGGCGAAGGCTGACTTGTTTGACAGGGTAATCAAAGTGAGACGGGACCAGATAGATATCTAGGGCCTGGAGATAGCACACAAGAATCTTAAGGTTAGACCCACACCGGCGTCGGGCCCGACGGTCAGACCAGACCAGACGATTTTCTGCCGGCTATGGCGCCCATACCGACACCGGTACCCGACGGTCAGACAACATCAGTTTAATTGTAACAATTTACTAATAGTAGAAAATTGAATGTAGCAAGAGGAGAAAGTTGTTATTCTTGCTGACTGAAGAGTTAGATTCTACTTGTATT